GATTCACTCAGCTCATGTAAAATTAAAACAGACCAGCCAAACTGTCCCAAACTGTGGGTCTGTGCATAAAACTATGCAAGTGACAGAAAAACCACTCACGATGCTGTATAGTGAGTGAATGAAGGAGTTAGTGAGTGAGTGTAGTGTTACGCCGCTTTTAACAATTTCCCAGCAATATAATGGCAGCGGACACTAGAAATTGGCTTCACACATTGTACCCATATGGGGAATGGAACCCGGGTCTTCGGCTTGACGAACGAACATTTAACCACCACCCTCGCATTGCTGTATAACAAAAGGGATGATTTCAACTTGTCACTAGACAACCTTCCCTTTATGTCGGGCCATATTCCTTCCGGTCCAGAGGGGCGGTGGGGTAGCCTAGTGGTTAAAGCGTTGGCTCGTCACGCCGACGACCCGGGTTCGAATCCTCACATGGGTACAATGTGTGCAGCCCATTTCTGGTGTCCCCCGCCGTGATGTTGCTGGAATATTGCTAAAAGCGGCGTAAAACCAAACTCAGTCAGTCAGTCAGTCCGGTCCAGACTTTTGACTTAACATTTCACAACATTTGAGGTACATACATACCTTTTCCACAAAACTTTCAAAAAGTACCACAGGGCTCTTGCGGAATTGTTGTCTAATCAGGATGACAACATCCAAGGCTAAACATGTCAAGCATATGATAAGACCCTTATGTACTTATAATTCCATATTTGTTTAATTCACAAGAAGAGATTGACAAAAGAATGAGTCAAATAATATAGCTTGCCATGTGGTAGGTAACAAGCTTGTGGTGAGGTTAAGCACTGTTGGGAACTGTGTCAGCATAGCCAATTTGGCAAAATAACAGGACGATTGATACCATGATACACGAATATGCTATGACATTACAGGTGAATACATAACGTCCACGCCACAGAACACCTAGTCTGGATCATCCGCCGACACAGATTCCATTGGGTGTAAACGGCAAGTAGAGAGCTCTTGGCAACCAAACATTAAGAGGACCATAGCATGTGTATATAAAAACAGAAGTATTTAGCCTATATTTCGTTGTTCTCGAATGTAGCTGATTGAACATTAATCCTATTCTGCTGCTATACACATCGACCAGAGATAGCGAGATGAAGCCTAGTTCCCGTCACCTACAGGCTCAAGGTGACAGGTTTCGCACGCTCTGCTGTCGGCTCTATCTGGGAACGACTTCCATTATACCGGCGTTAGTGAAGCGCTGTGGATGACAGCACACGCTGCCTGGGCGAAACACTGTACCAGATGGACGGCGGAATGTAATGCGCAAAAAAACAAGTAATGTTCTTGTAAGCCAAACATAATGCAATCAGGGACGCTCGGTGTGGGAGCATATATAAAACAGCTGTCTACTCGAAAATGGATTCACGATAGTTATATAGTAGATGAATAAAGTTGTAAGTGTTTGATATGTAAATAGTCACAGAACTGAATCCGATTCATTTGACAGTTTATACAACTAGGTATCAAGTATGTGTGAACAGATAAGAGGGAAGAAATCCTGCTCAGTGTACCAAAGAGGAAAGATAAAGATGAACTTCGTAGGAAAAAGATTATGATAATTTTATATAATCTACTTATAAAACTCATTTAAATCATATATACCTTAAAAAGGATAGGAATAAGTAGCACATATGATTGGTTGGTGTTCATATGACTAGAGATCGGTTCCACTAATACAAGATCCATTACTGTTACAACTTTGCTAAAATACACGCAACGAATAAAACACACATTTATCCTTACGAATACTGGACACAGTCGTCTACCCTCCCAAGGACATGCTGACGGTTTAACCCGCATAAACTTTGGCAATTCTATAAATCTAAAATATAATTACAGGTACATTACATAATATATTATGGTATAAACATACATCCGGCAAAACCAGTAAATAAACTATTAATTGACAATTAGTTCAAGATGCCGCCCTCAGTCAGTAGAAATACGATAACGTGACTGTTCCGACAGATAACATGCAGCGTCAGGGGCTATTAACTATGTTGCCTCGACACGATATGTCGACATCATTATTGCAGCATTCAGGGATATACGTATCTCACACAGACTGAGAATTACGAGATGCAAGATAGGGAGATGAAAAAAAGGAATGTCTTGGGATAGCAGGGAATAACTGATGTCGTCCTACAGACATCCTAAACCAACTTGGATAACGTTTATAACAGTTTATGGTATATTTTCTGAGCACGAGAAACACTGCAATACAGATCATATCAGCATTTATCGTATGTTTGTCGCTGTCCAATCGATGAAGTAATCGTATATAAAAAGTACTAAAAAAGTGTTAAAACACGTTATAATTACCAATGCCAATAATGTTGGGCGTGTATCCATGTTTTAAGGGAAATTAATTGAAAACAGAAAGAGTGGTTTCTCCTGGTTCAGTCACAGAACAAATGCACCTATGACATGTTGAAACATACGAGGAGCGCCTGGTATTGTTAGACAAACCATCACAATTTGTTAATCTCGGAATCGAACCATCAACTAATGCACACACTACACATATCTGGCCCTGTCAAACCGATATCCACTACAACCGAGTCCATACACAATATCGATGTGGAAAATCCTTTCTGAATTCATACATTTAAATGGTAATATGTATACATCACCTGTTATAATATGCCTACATCACCTGTGATAAAATGCATATATCACCTGTTGTAATTTGCATACATCACTTGTGGTAAAATGCATATCACACTTGTTGTAATATGCATACATCACCGGTTGTCATGTGCATACACCACCGGTAGTCAGTGCATACATCACCTGTTGTCATGTGCATACATCACCTTTTGTCAAGTGCATACATCACCTGTTGTAATGTGCATACATCACCTGTTGTCATGTGAATACATCACCAGTTGTCATGTGCTCTCATCACCTGTTGTCATGTGCATACATCACCTGTTGTCATGTGCATTCATCACCTGTTGTCCTGTGCATACATCACCTGTTGTCAGGTGCATACATCACCTGTTGTCATGTGAATACATCACCTGTTGTAATGTGCATACACCGCCTGCTGTCATGTGCAAACATCACCTGTTGCCATGTGAATAGATCCCGGTTGTCATGTGCATACATCACCTGTTGTCAGTGCATACATCACCTGTTGTCATGTGCATACATCACCTGTTGTCATGTGCTCTCATCACCTTTTGAAATATGCACTCATCACCGGTTGCCATGTGCATACAACACCGGTTGTCATGTGCTCTCATCACCGGTTGTAATATGCACTCATCACTGGTTGTCATATGCACTCATCACTGGTTGTCATATGCATACATCACCTTTTGTCAAGTGCATACACCACCTGTTGTAATGTGCATACATCACCGGTTGTCATGTGAATACATCACCTGTTGTCATGTGCATACATCACCTGTTGTCATGTGCATACATCACCTGTTGTCATGTGCATTCATCACCTGTTGTCATGTGCATACATCACCGGTTGCAAAGTGAATAGATCCCGGTTGTCATGTGCATACATCACCTGTTGTCATGTGCTCTCATCACCTGTTGAAATATGCACTCATCACCGGTTGCCATGTGCATACAACACGGGTTGTCATGTGCTCTCATCACCGGTTGTAATATGCACTCATCACCTGTTGTCATGTGCATACACCACCTGTTGTCATGTGCATACATCACCTGTTGTCATGTGCATACATCACCTGTTGTCATGTGAATACATCACCTGTTGTCATGTGAATACATCACCTGTTGTCAGGTGCATACATCACCTTTTGTCATGTGAAAACATCACCTGTTGTCATGTGCATACATCACCTGTTGTCATGTGCATACATCACCTGTTATCATGTGCACACATCACCTGTTGTAATATGCAAACATCACCGGTTGTCATGTGCATACATCACCTGTTGTCATGTGCACACATCACATGTTGTAAAATGCATACATGTGACAATGAATATGATTGACATAAACTGTTGTTACATATGTGCTTTTGTTACAATGGTCACGTCAGATTCCACTGGACGTATTACACAAAAGAAATGCCAAACATATAATATAATCAACAATGACACCAGGTCATATTGTGACTGCTTAATAGAAATATTGTCGACATGCTTTTGATACATAAGATGTAATTCGATAGCATTTGTCTCTATGCTAAATGTCACATCTGTCAATTGTTACAATACACTTTCATGTCGACCGTATGCACACGACTTGACACGTAATAAAGCCGTTGATAACGTACAGGCATGAGCGGTCCCTGTTATTGCATGGCCAATGTTCGTCAACAAGTCCTCATATCTTGTTTTGGTCTTAAAATAGCGTAAGATACGCAAACATGATGGAAATCGGAATTGATCAGAGTAAACAAGAACATTTTCATTCACAAATGACACATCAAGTATAATATGCGGTATTTCAACGTGCTCTTCAGTTGTTAACTAAGATCAATTGAAAGTGTTGTGACACTTTAATGACTTTAGTTTATTTATTGGTAACACCTCTGAAATATTATAAATATACCAGAATATACTGTACAGCAACATGTCTGTGACATGACATCTCGTTATCAGGATCATTGATGGGTTTTGTCACAGAGTACAGGCATATGTACCTACTCAATAACAAGATTCAGACCACATGGCAAAGCCTTGACATAACATATCACACCGCAACACAGAACCAGGCCGAGTCCCAGGTTCACGTTACCCTGTACATGTCGTATACTAAAAGGAGTCTTCTTGTCGTGTTCGGGTCAATTAAATCCAGTAAATTCTCACTCAAGGTTAACCCTTCCAAACGACCTTCCTTTTCACCCTCAATCAATTGCTTGACCATGCTGGCACTCAGGATCACATGCTTCGCTCAGCCAATCAAAGCAGGCCTTACATAATTGGTTGGGAAAGATAAGCCGCTGTATATATGAAGTGAGCTTGGCGGTAGTTGTTCAGACCAGCTCTGGCCGTGAGTATTAGAACCCCCTTTGTGCCGTGCACTGGCGGATATATTCCCTTCCTGCCACAAGACCGACCCCACTACACCCTGCACTGTCTCTCAGAGTCCTACCATTCATTACCTCTACTCTCTACTCAATATCTCAATATTACCATCCCAGAAAACATAACAACCGAGTGATAGTGTGCCTCTCCTGCCTTGGAGTAGATCTCTGATTTCTTCACTGATCAACCGATGCCTGTATGGGAAACTTTATTAATACATACCCGTGGTTTGGGCTTCCTTTCGGTGTTTGACATGTGTGAACAGATTTGATAATACCTTCCTCGTAGATCGTCAAGCTAAAAACTTTGGTTTAACACCGTACTTTTGTTTAGATCATAATTAATTCGGAATGCCTTGAAACCTTTGAATGTGATGCTAATGATTTTTTTACGTTGCTATAAACTTATAGATATGTGTTATGCGTAATTTATTCAGGGAATATTTGTTTTTACGTTGCCATGGATACCAAATCAGTTACCGCAGAAGTTGATTATTTCTTTGAGAATCCTTTAAATTTGATCAACGTATTTATTGCAAACATAGTTGACTTTTCTATGTAGCTGGGGTCATCTACTGTTGTTTTGACGAGAAACTGTGTGAAGAAGTTATTGGTGAGGTTTAGTGTGCATTATGTTAAAGTATGTGACGAAATGTACCACTTGTTTGATTATGCAGTACTGATTACCTTAGATTCAGTTACCACGGTTGCTATCCATAACTATTAATTTCAAAATTTATTTTTTAAGTTACAACTTTTTAATATAAATTCTGAAAACATGAAAATTGCGAAAGCTCGAACAAAATGTTTTTCCAAAAACAATCTCTGATTAATTTATCGAACCCCAAAACAACTCGTTTCTGAGAGTGGAAGTTTTTCCCGGCGCTGCTGCTGGCGGCTGTGAGCGCCAAGAGGCAGCTACTTGGTGCTAAGACAGTTGCCAGGGGTTTTCGCCATCATCAGTATGATAGTAATAACGTTCCTGTGGCCTACTTCCATAGAGTAAGGTACCACGACAGCGATACGCGACCCCGGCGTTCAGGTGTAGTGTTTCCTTAGCCTTATATGTATGGCAGGAAGCCCCCGGCCCCCGGAATGTCGCACTAGTCTGGATAATGAAGAACGCGTGAAGCAATCAAGTAGCCATCTTAATGACGAGGTGATGTCTTGGATTCATAACGAAATGCGTGCGAATAAATAAACACATGACACTGCATTACTATGGGTATGAAAAAAAAAGCTGACTAGATGTTTGGTTACGGTAATGCTGAACGTTAGCTATGGTGTGTGTAATTCACAGATAACGGGACTGATTGTTAATAACATCTTAATATGACACAGGGATACAATTGGCAACATATGTTTGTATGAACTTTGGTAATCTGGCAGTTGTTGAAGATGTGACATGACAAATAGTATTATAAGAATCCACATCATGAAGGTTTCCATGGCAACGCCAACATGGCGACTGCGTTACTTCCTCTTTCCAACAAAATGGCAGTCGCTATATTTTTCATAAGAATGGCGTCAATGTACTGTATGATTGATTGAATGTCTATATATTTCCAGGGACAGAACAGAGTTGCTCATCACCTTTCGGGCTTTCTTTAGTTCACTTCCTCTGTCAAAATGTCCTCTTTTGATCCCAACGACCCCGATTTCCAGTATCTTGCGGTTGACCGCAAGAAGCTGATAAAGGAACTAAAAGGGACCTTTGATGCCAAGAAGGCATGTTGGGCCCCAGATGAGCAAGAGGGGTTTGTTTCCGCGGAGATACAGGAGACCTCAGGAGAAAAACTCACCGTCAAAATAGTGGACTCGAATGAGGTTCGTCGCCTTACATATCTCTATTATGTTTTATCAATTATCATTTCAGCGTGTATCATTTATTACTTTAGTGTTTATTATTTGTCGTGTTAGACAATATCGTTTGTGAATTCACTATGATCACGTCCGTAATGATTCTTGGTAGAATGGTTCCCTATATGCTAATTACAAGAGGCCACGTATTTGTTGGTTAGTGAGGCTCTATGACAGTGTAATTGCATGTTCTCAAACCCAGGGGGTGTTGATTGCTGCTCACAATATCGGTCACTGGATTGTCTGGTCCGGACTTGATTACAACTGGAATATTGCCGACTCGTCTATTAAAAAGAAACAAAACAATTGTTTTGATAATTTCAAAGTTTACTAAATTATTAATATTTTAATATTTTATGTAGATTTTCTAGCTTCTGCAAACCCATGTTAAACACAGCCTCAAACTTTAAGCATGGCACATGTGTTACCTACCACTCTTGAATGTCTCTCCTTATATTGACTGCTCCTCAGCCGCATGTCATTATATTCCTTTCAGGTCAAAACTTTCAAGGCCGATGAAATTCAGCAAATGAACCCACCCAAGTTTGAGAAATATGAGGACATCGCCAACCTCACCTATCTGAACGAAGCCAGCGTCCTCTACAATTTAAGATCCAGATACACCGCCGGCCTGATCTATGTAAGTACAAGAAGTTTGTATGTTTAGTTAGTGTAGTCTCCACATTCCTCACGGCAATCCAGCATTGATACTACCTTGTTCCTTGGTCAAACTGTCCTTACTGAATCAGGTCAACACTCCTCCCTTAAACATGTTTGGATGCTAAATGCGGCGTATAACAGTAATCAATTTTCTTGGTTATCCTGAATGTCAGGGCACATACGATAACCTTAGTGACAGAATACAACTTTAGGCCATTGTGAAGTTACGTTTTGGAATATATCATTGTCTGTTCACATCGGATATATAATGTTCTGGTACCAACGTCTCTATCACAAACAAAACAAATAACATAAGCACTCCGTCGTGTGACAATGCTGTGGAACACGTGTTGGGTCATAGTGTTGTGTGACGTCCACCTGAGAACAAATGTTGGGTCACAGTGCTGTGTGACGTCCAGCTAGAAACACATGTTGGGTCATAGTGCTGTGTGACGTCCACCTAGCAACAGGTGTTTGGTCCTAGTGCTGTGCGACGTCCGCCTAGCAACAGGTGTTTGGTCCTAGTGCTATGTGACGTCCACCTAGCAACACGTGTTTGGTCCTTGTGCTGTGTGACGTCCGCCTAGGAACACGTGTCGGGTCATAGTGCTGTGTGACGTCCACCTAGCAACACGTGTCGGGTCATAGTGCTGTGTGACGTCCACCTAGCAACACGTGTCGGGTCATAGTGCTGTGTGACGTCCACCTAGCAACACGTGTCGGGTCATAGTGCTGTGTGACGTCCACCTAGGAACACGTGTCGGGTCATAGTGCTGTGTGACGTCCGCATAGCAACACGTGTCGGGTCATAGTGCTGTGTGACGTCCACCTAGCAACACGTGTTGGGTCAAAGTGCTGTGTGACGTCCACCTAGCAACACGTGTCGGGTCATAGTGCTGTGTGACGTCCGCATAGCAACACGTGTCGGGTCATAGTGTTGTGTGACGTCCACCTGAGAACAAGTGTTGGGTCATAGTGCTGTGTGACGTCCGCCTGGGAACACGTGTCGGATGATAGTACTGTGTGACATCCAATTAGCAACACGTGTCGGGTCATATTGCTCTTAAACACACTAAATGAATGATTTGTGAGATATTTTAACAATACAGTCAGATTTATCCCCATCTGCACACCCAATATCTGGATTGTGTTTTCAGTGGTAATGGGGGTATCATCTTGAAAGCTGCCACTGTTTATGATACGATGCAATTATGTATATTGGAAAGGCCCCTGTCAGCACAAAGACAGTCATAATATGTGGCTTCTATTACCATTACTTTTGAAAGCAAGACTGCAGATGCAGTTTTTTCACACGCTGCAAATGCGTCTGGTCTCCTCTAATATGACCGAGTACATAATTAGAAATAACAATACAACACGAAAGACGTTTACTATGCTTTATGTCCAAGATAATGGCTTCAACACCGCAGGAATCAGAAGAAATTAACGAATGGATTAACCTCTGAATTCCAGTTCCCAAGAATTTTAGCGCATCGTACCACCCCTTTCACTAACATTCCGCACTTGTCCTTCAGTTCTTCCAGTTATATTCTTTTTGACCTACCTCTTTGATCCCCTTTATTATTACAAGGTATATTTTTGTTTATTATGTTCATAATGATATTACAAACATATATTAAAACGAGAAGTAAGTGTATCTGCTTTGGGATAAATGACAAAGCTATACAGTGAATTATATTTGGTGAGGTGAGGTGAAATTGGGTTTTACGTCGTGCTTGAGAATATTTCGCTCATATGACGACGTGCATGCGTGTGTATGTGTAGCAGCGGCTGCTTGTACTAGCCCAGACGTAAGCTGGTTTTATAGTGCTAGCCCACTGAGATACCATGCCGCAGTGAAGCATGAATACCCCACTCAGACACATTATACTGACTCCGAGCAGACCAGTCCTTGTTGTACCCACTAATGCCGAGCGCCAGGCAGGGACCAACAAGTACCATATTTTAACGTCTTTGGGTATGACGCGGTCGGGGATCGAACCCGCGACCTTCCGCTCTCCGGGCGGACGCTCTAACCACTACACCACGCAGGCGGTCAATTATACTTGGATGATACTCTGGAGTTTGGAGATACACGTACTAAGACGTTTTCTTCCATGCTCACTGAACACGTAGTCTTTCCTTGATCACATACCTGAGAGAAATCAAACCACCTTCATGAAAATGTGCTTGCATTTCCTTCAGTTGAAACTGATTCAGTATTATGCCTTTGTGACGCACTAGCGTGACCACAAGCATCCTGCTTTCATAATGCATTTGAGCTTACTTTTCACCAATTCCATATCATATGTATTGGTTCCAGACATATTCCGGCCTGTTCTGTATCGCCATCAACCCCTATAGGCGTCTCCCCATCTACGTTCAGTCAATAGTAGACAAATATAGGGGTAAGAGGAAGACCGAGATGCCTCCTCACTTGTTCTCAGTCGCTGACAACGCCTACCAGTTCATGGTGCAAGGTGAGGTAACTCTCTAATATTAGTCACACGGACCCGAGGTGTATCGATGTCCGGCAATTATACTTCTGATTGGTTTCCCATTGTTTTCAATGTCTGCGAAGATACCCTTTCCAAAGTAGCGGACGTGATATGAAAGCTGTCTCTCAGATAAGAAAACAAGAGGCATTTTGATGACGCCACAAACTATTTTATGTTGCGTCTTTCTAAAACATAAACCTTCTTATCGAGTGGCTGATTCCAATTGTACAATGTGGAACGAATGCTTATGAAATGTCAGTGTTTAATACATCCAATATATTTTCAATTTGTTGAAACAAAAATGTTAATTTTAGTCTACTGTGTTCACTTTTCAGATCGTGAAAATCAGTCCATGTTGATCACGTAAGTGTATTTACATTGTTTACTTCTATAAAACACATAATACCAGCGCGCATATGCATGTTCTCGTACTCCTTGCCAATATTTTCTGGGACACTGTTAGCCACAAGGTTCAGCACTTCGCTTCAGCTGTGGTTTTAGACGTTCCAAGATCCAGTGATTGTTGCCTTAAATCGCCAGTTGTCCCTGGTAATGGTTTGTTTGATTTTACCATCTGTCACATGCGTCTTTTCATTTATTCATATCGCTCGTTGAACTATTGTAACCTGTTGATTGCCAATTTTGATTTAAATTTTAATTCTTTGTCAGCGGTGAATCTGGAGCTGGTAAGACTGAGAACACCAAAAAGGTCATCGCCTACTTCGCTTTGGTAGCTGCAGCAAGCGACAAAAAGGAAGAAACGCCGAAGGAAGAAAAAAAGGTGATTTACTCCTCCTCCAAAACAACTACTAGCAGAATGTACCGTATATACATGAATATACATGTATACACTTAATACTTAAACACCAAAAATATGTGAATCGGTTCAATGTTGCTCAATGTTTTACATTAAGATTACATTGGGTGACATTTTCTATTTGGTGTTTCTTGCAGGGGTCCCTCGAGGATCAGATCGTTCAGGCTAACCCTGTACTTGAGGCCTACGGTAACGCCAAGACGTCCCGTAACAACAACTCCTCCAGATTCGTAAGTTTCTTTGCAGTTTTTCATGAACGACACACTGACACGATGTAACCATGGGGCCAATGTAATCACAAATAAGTTTAAGTTTGTTTGTTCTAAAAACACAATTACATTCAGACAGACTCGTTTACATATGATTTGGATCCCTCATTTAATAATGTAAAATCATAAGCAACTAAAAATGAAATCATGCCGAATATTCATTGCATGTTTCTCCTCGGATATTAGCTATATGTGCAGTCGGAGACGTACCAACAGCCGATATTTCCAACCAGACTAGAAGTCGATTCAGCAAATAACGATATTCAAAGTTGGTAGTCTGTTTTGGTCTAGTAGTTTCTGGTTTTAGTTCTGTAATCATATGTGTTTCTATTTTTAGGGTAAATTTGTTCGTATCCACTTCGCAAGCTCTGGCAAAATCTCTGGTGCTGATATTGAAACATGTAAGTACTGCATACAAGCCTCGTGAAGCTTCTCCATCAGGTCCTGTGCTCACCCAATACAAGGGTAATCATGTGAAAGTATTACCGGTATACCGACAAGAATGTATCACCCAGAGCGTGCAAGGTCACTGTGCACACTATCTTCACTGATACAGCAATATGCATATGTTATTAAGATAATATGCATCTTCAAAAAACATTGACAAAACCTCTAAGACATATCAGTTCATCTCCTCAGACCTGCTGGAAAAGTCTCGTGTAACCTACCAGCAGTCGGTTGAGAGGAACTACCACATCTTTTACCAGATGCTTTCTGGAGCTGTGCCAGAGATTTTGGGTGAGTGGGTCTTGAAATCAATATCGTTTGAGGTAAACCTTGCATAACTCATTGACGCAAATGGTGCGACGATAAGATGGTATCATATTGCATTCCAGCCTCAACCGCTGAATGCTTCGTGCTATAAGTGATAGAAAAAATCCAGATGTGAACCTACTGTAAAGCATTGGTGCATATGGACATACTACATTGGCGGCTCTTATATCATATTCGTTGATATATTGTTCTATACGGTCACATGGAGTATACATTGAAAATGTAGATCCGGTAGTAAACATGCGTCTTACACGTGCTCATAGTGGTTTTCCTGGTTTTGACACTTTCAGGGAAGGTCGACTAATCTCTGATAACCAATGTCTGTTGGTCGAATTGATTGAGGCCGTCCCAAGACAGAGACTAGTCTCTACGAAATCTAGCTCAAACGGCGAATCAAATTTCTATAACTTTCACCACGCTACCCGTTACAAATCAGACGATTACTCAACCTCTACATGCAGCTGATATCGGCAATGCTCACATCCAGCAGCACAGAATCCATATTACATGGCGAACAATCACATCGCAATATGCCAGGACCTTTCCCTTTCCCCCACCTTTACATGATAGGGAGATGACGTGAGCGTTTGAGTTACAGGCTACGACAACCTTGTCTGAAATGTCATATCCGTTGTAAAATGAGTGAGTAAGACTCCGTCAAATCGCACGTGGGGGACCATACGCCGTTTGCTTCGAGGGGTGAATGAATGTTTGGCATATCGTTGCGGCATTACTGTACAGTTTTTCATTTCTCAGTGAAGATGTATAATATTTATTTGCTTCGTAGTCGATTACAACATATGTCATATATACGAAATGTGTATGTAAGTAATTATATAAATGCGAATGAAGTGATTTACCTTTCAATGTGTTGTTTAACAGAAATCAGCTTGACAAAGAATGACGCTGGTCTGTACCCCTTCATCAACCAGGGTGTCCTCACAGTCAACGGCATCGACGATGTTGAGGAGATGCAAATGACACATGTAGGTATCCCTCAAATGTCAAAACAATTTCTTCGAGTGGCTATTAGAAGTTGGTGGGATGAACAAGGGAGATAGTTCTATGTATATACAACTACAATATATGCGACGTTTCGGTGTAGATGTAACACCGTTATCAAGCAAGCGATTTAAGCCCCCACCCCACCCCCACCCCATTCCAAAGTATTCACGTTCTTGTACGTTCACTCGGCCTTCAAGGAAATGTCCACAATGCATTGTTCCATATGACGTGTAACATTGGTATATGACCAATGACATTAATTTGTTACCAGCCCGAATTGACGACATACTCTTTGATGACTCGTTCAGTTCTGTTCCTTTTTTGATATGTCATAATTATTCAACGATTAGATTAAAACAAAACATGATATGTTGCAGTCTGCCTTCGATGTCCTGGGATTCACTCCGGAAGAAAAAGTGAGCTGTTACAAGTGCACTGGCTCTATCCTCCACATGGGTCAGATGCAGTTCAAGCAGAAGGGTGAACAGGCTGAGCCTGATGGAACTGCTGAGGCTGAGAAGGTTTCCTTCCTGTTGGGTGTCAATAACGGTGATTTCCTGAAGGCTCTGTGTAAACCCAAGATTAAGGTGGCCATGGACTACGTCATTCAGGGCAGGACAAAGGCACAGGTTGTCTACTCTGTTGGTGCCCTTGCTAAATCTCTCTTTGATCGCGTCTTCAACTGGCTGGTCAAGAGAGTTAACCACTCACTCGATACCAAGAAACCGAGACAGTTCTTCATTGGCGTGCTGGATATTGCTGGATTTGAGATCTTTGAGGTGAGCAAAGTGCAATGAACTATTGCCTTTGGTTTTCCGTAGCGATAATTCTAGTTATGGTCATGTGTATAAATATGTGATTGTTCTAACACAAAGTCGTAGTTCAACAGTTCAACGGCTTGGATATCATAATATAAGATTACAAACATAATTCCCGTATTCCCGAATGTAGATCACCTACAAGAATTTGTATCACAGTATCAGTTGTAAAAATCCAGTGCAAACTTTATTCCAGTTCAACAGCTTTGAACAGCTGTGTATCAACTACACCAATGAGCGTCTGCAGCAGTTCTTCAACCACCACATGTTTGTGTTGGAGCAGGAAGAATACAAGAAGGAAGGCATTGTCTGGCAGTTCATTGACTTTGGCATGGACTTGCAGGCCTGCATAGAACTCATTGAAAAGGTATATCAAATGCTGTTTAATCTTAATCCTGGCAGTAATCATACTTTTTCAAATTTCAGTAACCTCTGTAAATTTCTCTGGACACTATTAATGCATGCCATCTATTCAACTTTTTCAGCCCCTGGGTATCCTGTCAATTTTGGAAGAAGAGTGCATGTTTCCTAAGGCCAGTGACAAAACCTTTAAAGATAAACTGACGGAGAACCACATGGGCAAATCTCCAAACTTCCTCAAGACAAACAAGTCAATGAAGGGAGGTCAACACGGTGACTTCGCCCTGAAGCACTACGCTGGTACAGTTCCCTACAACATCGGAGGCTGGCTGGAGAAGAACAAGGACCCTGTCAACGAGACCATTGTGGATCTCCTGAAACAGTCTAAAGAGCCACTTGTGCAGCTGCTCTTTGCTCCAGCTGGAGGAGGTAGATAGACTGATTTACTGTGCATAAAGTTGTATCTGAACAAATACACTTTGCGAAAATAGCCCACATTTTATTACTAATATTTTGACAGAGCATCAGATTACAAAGTAATATTCGTAAAAGGATAAAGTATAACTTCATGAAATAGATCTTATCTTGAATTAATAGCCAAAACGAAATCTCCTTTATAGATAAAGAATATTTGTCAGGGGAATTCTTTCTTAGACAGTGTAGAAGCACTTAGATCTAAGCAATTATAGTTAAAACCTAGAAGTCCTCAAGACAGATACTTCTCGGGCTGATTGGTAATAAATATATGGTAATTACCCGGCTACCAGTGTATACTCCTCTATCTGTTTAAACTAAGATTAGTTTCATATGCTACTACGTTAATTAATCACCCACCAGGTTCAATTCATGAGGGTAACATAAAACATAATTATATGTATTTTATACATGATCTCACTCACCACGTGTTACTAGAATAGTTTGGTAGGAAAAGCCCTCTCTTGCTGGACATTGGTGCCGATATCAGTGTGAAGATATAGTCTTGTGTAACAATTGTAGCAATAGTGTTCTCTCAATGTGGATCCTGTATCAAATACTTATATACAGTATACAATGGCATTGTACTTTACCTTTCCCAGATGCTGCACAAGCTTCTGGTGGTAAGAAGAAGAAAAAGAGCTCTGCCTTCCAGACCATCTCTGCCACTCACAGGGTAAGAAGTGGGTCGAACCAAACAGCATGCTTACTTTCATTTAGTACTTTCTTACATTATACATCCATATGACAAATTACATTTGTTGTTTAGCAATGTAATATGGAAGGAACATTTAAAAGTTGTTGTAATACATGATAATATTCAACTGTAGGAATCCCTGAACAAGCTGATGAAGAACTTGTACACAACCCACCCTCACTTCGTGAGATGTATCATTCCCAACGAAACCAAAACACCAGGTAATGTGCCATAGAATAACTTTGCATATGATTGAGTCTGCAAATGTATTTTCAGTCAGCATAATCTGACAATAGAAAAATATGTTCTTGTCAGTATAATTTACCAGACATTGTCGCAATATCAGTGTGTGAGGCTACTGCTATCATCGTTTCCTTACACTCTTACCTCTTTAATAGGCTTGATTGACGCTGCCCTTGTGCTCCACCAGCTCCAGTGTAACGGCGTACTTGAAGGTATCCGTATCTGCAGGAAGGGATTCCCCAGCAGGATCATCTACTCAGAGTTTAAACAGAGGTGAATATTTAAAGCTCAGGTAAAACAAAAGGACAATTATATATTGCTGTTTCCCACGTTTGCCGTTTCTCTGGCGAAGTAAACCAATACCATACCATTGTTTTCAGATACTCAATTCTGGCTCCTAACGCTGTTCCTGAGGGCTTTGTGGAAGGCAAAATTGTTTCCGGTAAAATCCTAGAAGCACTTGAGCTTAATAAGGAAGAATACCGTCTCGGCAACACCAAGGTGTTTTTCAAGGCTGGTGTCCTTGGTTACCTCGAGGAAATCCGTGATGAGCGACTGTCTGTTGTTGTAGCCCTGTTCCAGGCCCACATCCGAGGCTACCTGAAGCGCAAATTCATCAAAATGCTTCAGGACAAAAGGTAATCTTTGTTAACTCTACAACTTAATATGAAAAGACGAATAGAGGGATATAGCAAAGTTTCATCTTCTGAGTGGTGCTGTGTTACTTCTCGAATGGAAAACGGACCCAATAATTTAAAGCGTTTGATGTAACATCCCTTGGATTACAACATACATCCTGAGTTGTATATGTTTTGGCATCAATTGTTAGGGTTTGGGGACAATGTCATTGATATTTCAGTGGCAGTGTCACATTGACATACAAAACTACGTTTCGATGCTGACATCGCTGATGGTGTATGTTACAGACACTTCTTACGTAATTTGTTATAAGACGAATCAAGTACAAACTAAAATACATGACATGCTTTAATAGACATCATCTGAATTGAAGATATCAATAACCTATTTCAGAACTGCCCTTGAGATGATCCAGAAGAATATCCGTAAGTGGTTAGCAATGAGGAACTGGCTCTGGTGGAGATTTTACACCAAGGTCAAGCCACTTCTCAGCATTCAAGCCGCTGAAGATGAGATGAAACAGAAGGAAGAAGAACTGGCAAAGACAAAAGAAGAACTTCAAAAAATGACGGAGAGGTGTAAAGAACTTGAAGAAGCAAACGTTGTTCTTCACGATGCCAAGAACGACTTGAAAGTGGAAGTTGAGACCAAACAAGACACCATAGATGATTGCGAGGAAAGAATCGAGCAACTGCTTCAGACTAAGGTTGAAAATGAATCACAGATTAAGGAACTGGATGGCCGGGTTGCTGAGGGAGAAGCAGAGAATGCCAAACTATTGGATAAGCAGTCAAAGCTCGAAGGTCAAATGGACATTATGGAAAAAGACATTATCGACCTTGAGAACAGTCTTACCCAGGTATGTAAATCAAAATGTGTTCTGTTATGTATTATTAAAAAAAGAAATAACCATCACAATAAAGTACGTATATTTAATTGCCACGTTTTCAAATCTTGACTATTTGTATTCGGGTGGTCATATCGATTGCCTTTTCAAATGTATAGTCTAGAAATCATACTAACAAAAGATGTTAATCGTAGGCAGAAAATAATTCCAAAACCAGAGGAGACCAGATCAAGACCTTACAAGAAGAGATGACAAAACAAGATGATGCTATTGCCAAACTGTCAAAGAATAAGAAAGAACTTGAGGACCAGTTGCAGAAGACTGAGGATGATCTTCAGTCAGAGCAAGATAAAAACTCACAGCTCAACAAACTCAAGCAAAAGCTGGAAACAACTCTTGATGAAGTAAGATTAATAATGTGTGAATCAAAGCATCCTGTAGTACTATGCATGTTAACTGAGATAAAGTAAACTACAGGGTAGTTTCACAGGATGTTTGTATAAATTTTTAAAACGAAATTCGTACTTTATGGTCTCAAAGTAACTACTAACTGTATTTTGATAATGACTGTAGCTTCAAGATATAAAGATGTCGTTTGCAGGGGTCATTGTTGTCAGCTATGCAACATAGTTGTATCTTCTCAAAGGTTACTAACTAAGGTTATCATTCTTCGGGTTCTAGTTTGAGGAGAACCTTGGACGTGAGAAAAAAGTGCGGGCAGACGTGGAGAAGGCCAAAAAGAAGCTGGAACAAGATCTGAAGTCATCCCAAGACGCTTGCTCTGAGTTGCAGCGTGTCAGAGCAGAGCTCGAAGAAACAGTTAAGAGGTAATAGGTTTAGTCGTGTTATATTGGCTTATGATCCTTCTTGGCATCTGCAATATGAACAAAACCATCACTGAAACTGCCTTTTTCAAATCATGAAAGTTGAATTACATTTTTCTTATTAATGCTCGGTTTGTGTTGTAGTGCAATTGTTATACAGCCAGTGTATAATTGCCCTAAGTTTGTGACGAAGCATATCTGACATATGTGTGGGCTAAATAACCTTTCTTTCTACTTCACCTGAATACATTAAATCAAAGCGATCTTGCCAAAAATGACCCTCAACAATTGCCATACACCCGTATGGCGTTCAGCAAGGCAAGTGACTGTCTCTCTTTTCATTCGCTATATGATCACAATGCGTGATACCCCTGTGATGATGTACTACATTAGTGATTGAAACGGGCTAAAACCATTTTGTGACTTGGTTTTGTCTCCACTAGGAAGGAGAAGGAAATATCCAGTCTGAAATCTGACCTGGACGATTCCGACAACAAGGGTAACCAGCAGCAGAGGAAGATCAAGGAGCTCACAGTAAGTCACTCAAATATTACTATTCTTTCGTAAGACGTGTAGTTGTTTTATATTATTGTTGATCTGTATCCTCGGCCTAGATCCGCGCCTATATTACTTCCCATACTTAGATTTCCTTTAGAAGGGGTTCCCAACAATGCCAATGTCAAGGAACATTTTCCAAACATGTTTTTCGTTAAAGAATAAACACAACGTGTAGTTTAATCGCTGAACGTTCTCAACATCCATACCAATACCAATAGTGAAGGTTATTGAATGAATACGGAGGCGGTAATCCAGTTTCTCATTCTATTGCAGGCGAACATTGATGAGTGTCTTGCTGAGCTTGAGATGGAGAGACAAAACAGATCCAAGGTATGCGATATAGCAGGTTGATGGCATGAAACAATGTTCTTGGATGTTCAGTAACTTCTTCGATGTAACTAAAGATAACGTGCACTGATTATCAAATAGACAGTTCAGCGTTTCAAGAAGCATAAACTATATAACTTAATAAGAACTCAGACCTTGAATTACAGCAACAATGCCATAGGTCAAACACAATGCATTTGGAATAATATGGAAACAAAAAGCGAATGGGCTCAACAATATATCTCATCAACTATTTTTGCTTTACTATATGAAATGAGAAGAATGTGTTTGTTTAGCTAAAGTGATAGAAACAACACAAATCAAAAACTTTCTAAGCAAGCTTATGTTCAGGGCACTGTTGTACAAACCTAGTGCCTGGTGTAAAGAAGAGGTATTAACTATGTTAAGTACAGACAACGTTTCATGATTATAAACATCATCTTATCATTCATTGATGTAAGAGGCATAAATCCTTTGGCGAATATGTACCACATAGTAACATAGTATTTCTCAGTTTCTAAATATTCTTGACAGGTCGAAAAACAACGGCAAGAGCTGTCCCGAGACGTGGAAGAACTATCCATCCGCCTGGAAGAGGCAGGAGAGGACACAACAAGCCAGGTATGTATACAACCTAGCATGATAACACGGGCTGCTTTCTGGATTACTCTACACATCCTGGGAACACTTGTACTGAAAGCTTTAATTTATCATATGAGTTGGGTTTAGGAAGGCTGTGACCAGTATTTCAGACCCTCACAGCAATTTCATCACGAATGTGCCATGATCATATTACGATATTTTTAGGCTGATGCCAACAAGCGCCTGCAGGCTGAGATCAACAAGCTGAAGAGAGACCTGGACGACAGTGTAATGCAGGCTGAAGCCCAGGTCAGCTCTCTGCGCAAGAAGAACCAGGACGTTTCCAATGATCTTAGCGACCAGATTGACGCATTACAGAAACATAAAGCAAGGTACACAGGGATCGTATTAGATTTAGGATTTGATTCTCACAATGAGTTTAATAAGATTTATATCAAATAAGGTGAAATGGGGATACTTGCACCTATATAGTAACATAGTTCACTTGCATGTATGCATGCGTGTACATGTATGTTTATATGTACTGCTAGCTTGAGGCATCTGAAAAAGAGTTCCTGAAGAACAGGGATGGATCAGCTGTCTCGAAGTACTGAGGAACATTCTGCGCAGCAACACCACCTGGACTGAAGAGTTGGAAATTATCGTCATATTGTGGTTAATTTCAAGAATCTTTTCAGACTAGAGAAAAGAGAAGAATCAGATGAAGGGAGAGATGGATGATCTGGAGTCGGAACTGGAGAATGCCAAGAGGAACAAGGTACGCCTTTACCACTTTTAGGGATATCAGTACATAAACAGGTGACACTTGTTGAGGACCCACTAAACCCATTTAGGCTCCCCTATTTTTGTATGTTTATCTGGCAAAGTAGAGGCTATGTTGTATGAGTTGTCATATGGCCAAGCATGATGTTATCATGAAATCTTATTGGAATATTCATATTGCAATACCTGATTTTGCAGGGCGGAATGTCGGACGCAGCTTCCAGACAGCTGCAGGGCCAGCTGTCTGACCTGACATCTCAGCTGGAGGAGTCTTCTCGTAACATCACTGACCTCCAAAGCCAGAGAAACAGACTTCAGGGTGAAGCTTCTGACCTCAACCGCCAGGTGGAAGACGCTGAACGTAGGGCTCAACACCTTTCTCGGGAGAGGGCGTCCCTTCTGGCCCAGGTGGAGGAGTCAAGACGCAGTGCAGATGAAGAACAGAGGGTGAGGACGTTTTGGGGGATTGGTTAGCTAGTGGTACAAGATTGTAAGGGCTTCTCAAAGTTCTTCTGATACCACAGAAACAAAAAAGAAGCTGTAAGGACAAGGGACTAATTTTGGGCCAATGGAAATGTTAACATTAGGGTTATGGGTGAGGAGGTGAGGTGAAATTGGGTTTAACGTCGCTCTGGAGAATATTTCGCTCATATGACGACGTGCATGCGTGTGTATGTGTAGGTGCGGCTGCTTGTACTAGCCCAGACTGAAGCTGGTTTTATAGTGCTTGCCCATTGAGATACCATGCCGCAGTGAAGCATGAATACCCCATTCAGACACATTATACTGGCTCCGAGCCGACCAGTCCTTGTTGTACCCATTAATGCCGAGTGCCAGACAGGGACCAACAAGTACCATAGTTTAACGTCTTTTGGTATGACGCGGTCGGGGATCGAACCCGGGCGGACGCTCTAACCACTACACCACGGAGCCGGTCTATTAGGGTTATGGAAAACAATGGTACTGAAATTGTCACACATGTTCAAATGTCAGACAACTAACCATCTTTTGATATGTCATTGCACGGTATGGTCTTCTGACATGATCAAATATGCCTTGAGTTATCCATCATAAAAACCTCTAACCTCTAGCAAAACCGTGAACATGATGATGATACGTTTCGGGCCTTATACCATTGATTCATTGTTTCTGTTAGTTAAAACATTCTAGTTCTGAAGGTGTCTATACTTCCTTAAATAGACCGAATTCCCTAAAATGTACTTATCATACCGATGACCATGATATACATCAAGTTTAGATTTCCTGTGTGGGTTTCAGATGAACAGGTATTATCTGCTTGTATGTGTAGCTAATTAACAACATCACAACTAAACGTAGGCACCGTACTATCACCATCCGCCATGAAACACGGTTACTTTCTGTAAACAGCAGACCTTTACTTCATATCACTGGAAAGGTACAAGATACAAATCAATGAACAATGTACCATAAGACGTGTTCTTGTATGACCCAACATAGCACATGCAGGTGTAGTATATTGCTTTACAGGACATGTAGTGTCACGTATTATTCATCTCATGACCTTTGACACGCATCAGTGAACTACACACACCACTGGCATGTATAAGCGTATCATATAACACAGAATACGTATCATTGGGGCATGCACTTTCATACGACACATCAGTGAACGTTCACTCCTACAATTCAGCATATCTCTTATGGATGATCAACAGATGCGCCAGAAAGGCCAAGCCGAGCTCCGCAACCTGAATGCTGAGATGGGAGGGGTTCGTGATCAGCTGATCGAAGAACAGGAGAGGTGTGCTAGCCTGGAGCGACAGTTGTCGAAAAGTAACAGTGAGATGCTGCAGTGGAGGTCCAGGTTCGAGACTGAGGGCAGTGTCAAGGTGGAGGAGTTGGAAGAAATCAGGTGAGGTTACTATGAGGTTGGTGTAACTCTGGTTCGAACAGATACATCAGTTAGATCGCAGGATCTCAGTTTGACGTTGGGGAAGGCCCGAAATTTTGACTATAACGTATGATAGATCAGACGTTAACCACTATGGTCCAACTAGCAGGGGTCCTAAAAATAACGCTAGACTTACTGAAGGCGATTATGGGATTCAAATCAACGATTGTGGACGAACCACTTCACAAACAATTGTGGCGCATTTGCCGATTGGTTACTTTGCCTGGTCAATGTTTAAGCCTATGATCGGATACACAGCCGAAATACTAGAATCCAGAACCAAATGTACAATTACGGTATTTGTTGACATTGATATCGCTCTAAATTACAGGATTACATAGCCATATGGCATTAACATGGTGATATTCTTATATCTATATGAAATCAATTGATGTTTCAGGCGTCGCATGCAGTCCCGTCTGAACGAGGCTGAACAGAATTTGGAAAGTGAGCGTACCCGTTGTTCTGGGTATGAGAAGGTGAAGATCAGGATGCAGTCCGAGATTGACGACCTAGCACTTGAATACCAGAGGGTAAGACAACTACTTCTGATGTGAATGCCTTGTTTACTGGCCAGTCGGAAAGCAGAGACAGATTAACCTCCAGTTGGCTTCCTATTGAGCATTGGGCGGGTACAGTGTGACCTGAATGTGCGTCATCGTTCTGGATCGTTGGACAGCCTGACCTAGCTAATACCGCCAGTAGCGACACAGTTCCTGACAACATTCAGTTACCCTCCAATAAAATCTATAATTTTTATAAATGAATTGAAGTATGCTGAGAACATTTGAATATATGAACTGGGAGTTCAAGCAACATTATCAGCTGAAAATGTTTACGAAATCAATGATTAATGGACTTATATATTTATGTCAGGCCCAGACTGCTGTCAACAGTTTTGAGAAGAAGCAGCGTAACTTTGACAGATTAGTACAGGAGTACCAGAGCAAGATCGCCGACCTCAAAGCTGAACTGGAAGTGTCTCAGAAAGAGTCACGGGGCTACTCTGCCGAGCTGTACCGCACAAGGAGCAAGGTGGAGGATATGGATGGCCAAATGGATTCACTGAGGAGAGAGAACAAGAATCTCTCAGGTGATTAGCTAATGGCTTACCCTGAGCAAATGGAGAGTATCTGCGACCATGCATGTTACCTCAGCGTAAAAAGAAATTTCCAATCCGCCCAGCACCTGTAAAACCGAGCCCACCACTTCCGTACGATACTTTTATAAGGACGATCATTAACCATGATCCACTAATGAAAAAATATATGTTTTTCACTGGTAATAAATGAATGCTGATCTTTTTTGGCAGAGGAAGTGGTCATTCTCAGCAACCAACTCAGTGACGCTAGCCGGACTCTAGCTGAAGTCGAGAAAGTTAACCGACGCATTTCTACAGAGAAATCCGATCTTCAGACTGCATTGATAGAGGCTGAGGCAGCCTTGGAGCAGGAGGAGGCCAAAATTGTCCGCGCACAGCTCGAAATCTCTCAGGTCCGCGCTGAAGTTGACAAACGCGTTGCTGAGAAGGAAGAAGAATTTGAAAATCACCGGTAACATAGCAGCACTTTATCAGCATCAGTTCTACCTCATCTACCACTTAAATCACTTCAGGCCCTAGGTAGAAAAGTTCATTCACACATTCCATTCACTGATAGGTAACGAATTGAGCAGAAAACTGAACGTGAAAATGAACTTCAACAATAATTAGGTGTTGTCACTATCTGAGGCTCTGTAAGAGTGTCTTGCACCATTATGTAACAATACTTCTCTCATAGTCTAAGCCATTTCTGGTGTCCCCCGCCGTGATGTTGCTGGAATATTGCTAAAAGCGGCGTAAAACCAAAAACCACTATTGAGAAAGTAAAGAAGGGTTTGGAGAACTCTCACGACTTGACAGTTCAGATTCCCACAGGTCCAAGTCAGACACTTTGACCAGTCAGGTCAGTCAGTCAGTCATAGTCTAAGCCATATCTAACATGGCACTGATTAGTTAATTCTTGTGAATAGCAAAATATATCAATGGCAAGTAATGTTTCTTCCATATGTACACCGAGGTATGGTCAGCTGTGGGACGCCTGAGTACCCTTTCCTGAGATCCGCCCCTTGAGATCCACTCCTTGAGATCCACTCAAACTGTAACTTGTATTTCAGTCGTAACTTCCAGCGGTCCATGGATAACCTCCAGAATTCCTTGGATGCTGAAAACAGGTCCAAGGCGGAGTACATGAGGATCAGGAAGAAGCTTGAGAGTGACATCAGTGATCTCGAGATAGCTGTTGACAATGCTAACCGGGCCAGGATGGAGGCGGAGAATGCATGCAAGAGATATCAGTCTCAGATGAAGGTAAGCAGTTGGACTTCAGAACTGGTGGGGAAACCTTAAGGTGGCGAAGTAATCCAAACCTGATATTCAAATATTAAGGAATATCATACACCTCGCGTCATACCCCTAGGTAGGCAGCAAACCACACAAAGGTGATAAGCACGTCGAGACTAGATTATTTACACCACGCACCCTTTAGCTGGGATATGGCTGAGTGCAAAAATAGCTTCAGTTAAGGCATGTGATACTGAGGACATATGCCAAAACTTACATCAGAGATTTCTAAATATGAGAAAACATTGGATCGTAAAGGCAGCAAAGATAGACAGCTTGTGTATGGCGGAAAATGTGTAAACGACATGAATTATGACAGTTCTGTCATGCACCTGTTGTTAACAATACAAAGTGAAGTGGCATGGAGTTCGGGAGAACAGTCTCAGATGGAGGTAGGCAGTTGCACTTCAGAATATCAATTGCTGATGAAACGTTAACATGGCGTGGTAATCAAAACCTGATATTCAATATACATGGATTACGACTGTTGTGTTATACACATGTTGTTTGTAATACGCAGAAAAGTGGCATGGTGTTCAGATGCCCACAGTCATACTATTCAAAGAAGCTCTATTTGTCCCTGGCAGGATCTACAGATGCAGGTCGAGGAGGACAACAGGGCCCTCCAGGAGGCCCGGGACTCCTTCCAGACAGTGGAACGTCGTTCTATCACCATGAAGGACGAGAATGATGAAATGCGTACAGCTCTCGAGTCTTCAGAGCGAGCACGAAAAATGACTGAAAACGAATTGATCGAGGTTAGCGACCGTGTGAACGAGTTGAGCTCCCAGCTTAGCTCGGTCAGTACGCAGAAGAGGAAACAGGATGTCGACATATCTGCAATGCAGGTTTGTGGTGTACTTTATGATGCGCGATAGAAAGCAGTGGTGAACTATATGAAAGATTACAGTGGCAACCCGCGTTTAAATATGGTGAAGTGGAGGCTCGCGAATTATTAGAAATTGTAGGCCAATATCTCATTTTAGAAAGACTTCAAAAGTTGGTGTGATGGCATGATATCCTATGTGATTTGGGTAATTACCAACATAACGAAAGCACGTTAGTCATAATCAGTTAGACCAAACACCTTCCTGCCTGGACGTATGTATACGATCTAAACGATGTCACAGCGTGCAAATAATTCATTAATCCTAAGAGTTCTTAATCTAAGATTCTATTTGACTAAAAGAGACATTGATTTGTCGTCTGCTTCAGTCTGACCTTGATGAAATGACTTCCGACCTGAGAGCGGCCCAAGAGAACTACAAGCGTGCTATTGCTGACGCCACTCGTATCTCTGACGAGCTCCACTCGGAGCAGGAACACAGTAGCACTATTGAGAAAGTAAAGAAGGGTTTGGAGAATCAGGTCCGAGAACTTCAGACACGACTTGACAGTTCAGATTCCCACAGGTCCAAGTCAGACACTTTGACCATTCAGAAACTGGAACAGCGGGTATGTCTCATCTGTCACCTGAATAGCACATGACGATTTCACGATTATCACAGTTTAATGAGAATAGTTTGTTTTACTGAAAAACATTAATAGAATTCAAGTCATTCAAGCAGAAGTTACAATTCAAGCTGTGTTGTTAATGTTTCGTTTTCAAAGGATGCAAAAGGAGAAACTCATGAAGACGGTTGCCAATAGGTTGTACCATGTTCTTCTTGGTTGTAACGGTAGTAATCAGAGGTGACAAGGTAGTATCGGGAAGTGACAAGGTAGTATTGTTGCAGGTGACAAGGTAGTATCGGGAAGTGACAAGGTAGTATTGTTGCAGGGTGACAAGGTAGTATCGGGAAGTGACAAAGGGTAGGTATTGCAGTTGCAAGGTAGTATTGTTGCAGGTGACAAGGTAGTATCGGGAAGTGACAAGGTAGTATTGTTGCAGGTGACAAGGTAGTATGGGGAAGTGACAAGGTAGTATTGTTGCAGGTGACAAGGTAGTATGGGGAAGTGACAAGGTAGTATTGTGGGAGGTGACAAGGTAGTATGGGGAAGTGACAAGGTAGTATGGGGGGAGGGTGACAAGGTAGTATGGGGAAGGGGAAGTGACAAGGTAGTATTGGGGAGGTGACAAGGTAGTATTGGGAAGTGACAAGGTAGTATTGGGGAGGTGACAAGGTAGTATGGGGAAGTGACAAGGTAGTATTGGGGAGGTGACAAGGTAGTATGGAGAAGTGACAAGGTAGTATGGGAGAGGTGACAAGGTGGTATGGGAGAGGTGACAAGTTATTGTACGGGTGGTGGTAAGGTAGTGTTAGGGAGGTGGAATGTTAGTGTGGAGGTGGGGTGGGGGATGTGGTAGGGTAGAGAATGGTAGGTTGTAAGGTAGGGGTGAGTAGGATAGATTAAAGTAGGACAGTAATACGTATGTCATGTAATGGTCATGCCATGGTGATAATGTGATAACTGTACCAGGTACGCACGGTGGAGATCGACTTGGAGAAGGAACAACAACGTCACGCCGAGACCACCAAGAACTCCAGACACTTCGAGCGTCGCATGAAGGAGCTGACCTTCCAGATCGAGGAAGAGAGGAAGAACCAAGAGAGAATGCAAGATGTCCTGGACAAGCAGAACGCTAAGATCAGATCCATGAAGACACAGGTTGAGGAGGCTGTAAGTTTGTTTGTTTGTTGTTCAACTCAACAGTTGGGTGGGTAAATGTTCGCAATTAATCAAGCGACTGTTTTTTGTGAATGCAGAAGTTGTATTTTCGGTTATGTCACATTATCTCACAAAAGACTAACTTCATCCCGATTAGAGGTGTTTATAAGAAGGAGCTGATGTTTTATTCTTTAGCATACTTATTTTTGGTTGCCATAAGTTTTATATAAATCAAGGTTCAATCACTTGAGAGTTATTCTGGGAACTTGTGTAACCCGTCGTGAGATTTCGAAACATGCTAAACCTGACATGTTACTGCCTGTGGTAGGCCTCAGTACGTGCTGTTATCGAAAAGCTGGTTCCAGATATCTGACCACATGGATATTTCCTCACAAGACAATTCCCCATCGTACAAACTCAAACTGGGACATATTCCAACATCCTGCGTCTCTTGTCTTTGTCAAAAGGGAAGTGGTATGGGGACTGTTAACATTTACCGTCAATTGTGAGATGATAATAGGATGATCGTAACCTGCCATGTTGTCCAAATGTAAATAGAGATGTGTGATCATAATAATCACCTCGTGTCAAGGACCATTTACACAGAATCGAACTCGAGTTTGCGAATTTTACAATTGCCCAGCCCAGAAATTAAAGTGAGCTTGCTGATACCGCAGGTAACAGTTCATCATGAAAGGAAGTCGTTGGTGAATACTAATGTAAGATAAAGATAGATAAAAAGATATTTCATTTACGCGTCACGCGGTATACATACAAACATATAATCAAAAGGACAAGACAATATAACATATACACTACCTGGTCAGTTGGTCTATGAGACACGAGGTATCTGAGAAATCGTAACAGTAGAATAAACGTATAATCAGTTGGACTAAATGCAACTTATATAAAGAACAACAATGTGTATGAAGCTATAAAATCTATGTATGAATTGATAAATAAGATACCTTATGGCTGAATCCTCAGTATTATGCAGGTTATACATTACGGGGGAAATGTATTTAGATCTTGAGTGAGAATAGCGTGTCAGTTTCCAGATCATAAGCGATCAATGCAAGTTGAAACTTTCTCCTCTTACACATAACAGTAACAACTGCGGCTAGGGAAATAACTTATGTGACTATCATTTTGCATAATGTTTGTAAATTGTTAAATACTTCATACCACGCGTACGTAGGTTGGATATTTTCAGGATTATTTATCCTTCCTTCATCTGCAGGTAATCATTTCACTCTGACTGAAGGAAGTCACTCCACTAGTCCCTGCATTCCAGGGCGGGGTTTGATGAAGTGTCAGTGTATAATGATCCACTTGCTGAATGTGTGATTGTTACTGGGTGAATGGCGTCTGTGCGACAGGTTTCACAACACACGTTCTGCCCAATGCGTTCACTGCTTGCAGCAATGAGAGCTATTAAGAAATGACAAAGCCTAATGAGATCCTGTCTAGATGTTCACGCTCGATGATTGTTGAGATCACAAATCCTACAGTTACAGAGAGCGGAATAGTTTATTTATGAGTCACGCGTTACATAACCTGTGTATGTAAACATACTGTACATGGCTGTAATGTAAAAGTAACGTTCAGCCATGAGACTTGTGACACACGGAAAGACAGTAAGTACAAGTATACATAAACCATACGAAGGATACTGGTCGTTTCCTGTACAAACGAGCATTTACATGGTAATATACACAGTAAAATAATAATCATGAATTACATAATTGTTTTCGTTTCTACATCTTTTAACAGGTTATATCCCAAAACTTCCACATCCCCAAACTTCCACATCTCAATACTACCACACATTGTTAAAACAACAACTCCTCATCACTGAACTGAAAGAACAGATAATGATACATGACCTGGCTTAGCAGAATAGAGATTTTAGTAGAGAAGAGAGCAGTTAGTTAATAAATCTGAAATATATATAATATAAATTCGTGCATATTTCATGCAGGCAAATTTTGTTTTCTTGTTTTACCTTGAAACGTTGTTGATTACGTTCATAGAATTCTGAATTTGCAAAACATAAATTATGCAAGCTTAATGTACATTTGATGTAGATGTATGTCAAAATATGTAGTTTTACAATATAATGAGTGTTGAAATTTTATATTTATTGCGTAAAAGGGTCCAACAAGCCAAACAATTCCTTTCAATTCTGATTTGCAAATATAAAGTAACATGTACCGACAAATTCAAAATGAGAATATGAATTGTATTATTCTTACTTGAGGCTCTACTACCAAACATACTTGCACTGCCAAATCCAGGCATAAACACATAAATCAATTTTAATTAAATAAGGAAATTGATAATGTTATGGTATGGACATTGGCATTAATTGTTATGGTAGTGACACAATAACGGTAGTGACATTTGTAACAATAGCCAGTTTTATATGTTTACTTTAAAAGATAATTGAAATTTGTCAGTCAGATACTTCAGTATGTTTAAAGAATATGTAATAGGCAAAAGATTTACATATGGATGTCCCTGTCATGTAAAAAACAAGTAAAGACTGCATGTTGACACTGTGACAGTATATAATGCTCCAACAACAGTAAGGAGTGACAGGGTTATGGCTGTCAAATGTGCGGGTGAAATCTTGGACACTACACGACATAGGTTTTATATAAATGTTAACATAGGCTGTTATATGTAACTAGAAAAGATATGTATTTTTGTTAATAACCCTGACTTAATAAAATATATAATTTATTACTAAGTGACAGTTTGTATTCATTACTGATTAATGGGTTAAACCATTACAGACTGAGATAATCAGTATGGTGAAGTGTGTGCAGTCAACCAGAAATGTTGTTGTTATAAGCTGTGGAAGTTTTGTGATGTGGAAGTTTTGGGAGGATACCCTTTTAACAGTGTGCTTGCTAAAAGGATTTGTACAATTTCTGACTTTTCTGACAAATATTTAGGTTTGTTCAATTCAGTTAGATTTGTATAGGTAGGATTAATAACATGCGATATATAAAATGTGCGTGTCTTAAAGTTTCGTGAAGAGACTTCATATTATGTAATGTAATTCATCTTCAATAATTCTGTTATTTTCGTGGACAAATTCGTTCTGGAAGGTGAGTTGGTGGTTTGTTAAAATGTCCAGTTTTCGGGGCAAGGGTCAAGATCGACATCTAAACAATGCTGAAATTCGACGGTGGTTCCCAGATGTTACATTAAAACCACACAATTCAACAACATTTTGCGTCTTTAATTGTCTGTAAGATCTAAGCCTAATGCCATTTCCATTATTTTGGTCATCCCATACTTCTTTGCTCAATCATTCATGATAAGGTTCAGTGAGAGTATGTCCGATAGTTTCATTTTTTTAATTCTTGTATGGGACGAGGCTACAGTGTTATTAAGTGTCTTATTACAGGAAGTTTGTACGGTTCTATTTTTCCACGAATTGATTTTGTAACTCGGTGAAACAAACCTAAATAGCATTTATACTCAGACTGGCGGATGTTCGCGATAGGGCGCCGCCATTTTTGAAAATCGTGAAGTCACGGGCTAAAGTCTGTTAGAATTAATGAGATTATGGTTTGTTTTCATCAAGTTAGAAAATCAAAACTACTTTCTACTCGTAGTTAAATATGTATTTGAATCATAACCAAAAGCATTTTGCATGACACAACTTATAACATAACGATTTCTTCCACAGAAGCGAGGTGGGGGGGTGGGGTGGCGGGTCGAAGTGACAATACTGCGCGACAAATTTCTTGCTACATTCACGTGGTTAACGTGCACTCACCAGTATGTAGATACTAGTCAATGTACGTCTTTATATTTGGTCTTATAACCCTAATTAGTTTATTATCATACTTGTATGCATTTTGAAACTTAATAAAAAGCAGACGATCTGCTGACACTTATAGTGCATTTATAACAGGACTGCAATATCTAGACATTTTATAGTTTGCTAATGTGAATCATAATTCGCACACACGCCCTAGTGTATGTCTCATTACACTTTACGGCGAAAACAACGATTCTGTTGAATGCTACGACAAATGAATAAAAACAAAATGCAACTATTAAAATTAAAACAGATTAAATTTATAAGAACAATGTCAGGCTATTACCTTGCTCGAGGAATGTATCCATCAATATCCACAAAAACGAGTGATATGCCATTCATCTCCAGCTGTTCCAAGTAATGCGTCTTTTAACAGTCTAATATACGAAAAGGTGACATATCGTTTCAGGTATGTCACATTGGTGTATAGTCTCATTGGTCACCCAAGATAGCACACCTGGCAACTGACTGCATAATGTCCGCCATTCTTTAAAAACGGTAATTTAGTTCGCCAATAATGAGCAATCAATCACTGTATTGGCGGATAATCCTTGGAAGGAAGGACGTTGTTTTTACGTAGACACAGACACGACAGAGTGTATTCAGTATTGATTAGTAAATCTACATACATAAACACTACCTTTTGACAAATCCGCTGTGTAAGATAATGGTAAATTAATTAATCAGCGTGTTATCGGTTAATCCTTTGATCGATGTTTATAATGTTGAATATTTACTCCAGACACAAGAAATGCCAAATGGGAACCTTTGTCGGGTAATCTAAGTGGTGTTACCACTAATTATACCTGTTATAAATTCATTAACTGACCATCAAGTGAATGATGACAAATAACATGTGTAGGTTTATACCACCTAACACGGGTCACAACGAGGGAGTATTAATTGCTGTATTGCATGCAATTTTAATTGCATGTGAAAACTATGGGCCGACACTGTTTTGAGAATACAAACAGAACTTCATTGTTGCATAAGAAATACATATAAGCATTTGCTGTGTGTTAAAAGTGTATGTACCTATTTACCTAAGCAAAATTTCAGATTCTTCTAGCAATGGCAAAATAGGGTTGTTTAGTTTACCGATTCAAATAAATCAAATGTCAATTTTTAATATCATACGTAATAGACGTCATATTTTTACATGACATGATTAAATATCGAGGTAAAAAAACACTGAAATGGGATCAATTTGGATCAGTCATTATACAAATAAGGCCTAACGACACCAAACGATTTTGACAGAATCGTCTATGAAAACAAGTTGTAACTCGGAAACTAGGCAAAGCAGGAGACAAAATTATATGACAGTAGATTGTGAGAACATATAGCTTTCATTTTCCACAACAGTTGTCACCAATTCAGGTTTATACAAACCGGTAAACAAGATAATTTACCCCCTGAAATGTAGATGAATTCTGCATCGGCCATCATATCTATTCCTCATATGACGTCACAGAGACGCCCCGCTCTGATTGGTTGAAATTTCGTTCGCGGGTGAGAATTGTGCACTGTTGTCAAAAAGGTCGATTTAAGTTGATTAAAGATCGAAGTGAGTAGTTTTAATGACGGGGTTTCATTTATAGCGATGCCAGTTAGTGATTTATGTATTTGTACCCCCCTAGAGTATATGTGATCTTTAACAAATGACAAAGCCTAATGAGATCCTGTCTAGATGTTCACGCTCGGTGATTGTTGAGATCACAATTCCTACAGTTGCAGAGAGCGGAATAGTTTATTTATGAGTCACGCGTTACATAACCTGTGTATATACAAAACATGGCTGTAATGTAAAAGTAACGTCCAGCCATGAGACTTGTGACACACGGGAAGACAATAAGTACAAGTATACATAAACCATACGAAGGATACTGTTCGGTTCAAGTACAAAAGAGCATTTACATGGTAATATACACAGTAAAATAATAATCATGAGTTACATAATTGTTTTCGTTTCTACATCTGTTAACAGTGTGCTTGCTAAAAGGATTTGTACAATTTCTGACTTTTCTGACAAATATTGAGGTTTGTTCAATTGAGTTAGATTTGTATAAGTAGGATTAATAACATGCGATATTTAAAATGTGCGTGTCTTAAAGTTTCGTGAAGAGACTTCATATTAAGTAATGTAATTCATTCTCAATAATTCTGTTATTATCGGCAAATTCTTTCTAGAAGATGAGTTGGTGGTTTTTTAAAATGTCCAGTTTTCGTGGCAAGGGTCAAGATCGACATCTAAACAATGCTGAAATTCGACGATGGTTCCCAGATGTTACATTAAAACCACACAATTCAACAACATTTTGCGTCTTTAATTGCTTAATGCCATTTCCATTATTTTGGTCATCCCATACTTCTTTGCTCAATCATTCATTGAGAGTATGTCCGATACTTTCATTTATTTAATTCTTGTTTGGGACGAGGTTACAATGTTATTAAGTGTCTTATTACAGAAAGTTTGTACGGTTCTATTTTTCCACGAATGTGTCCATATTTATCGGACATAGTAAGTATATGTTCTTGCTCAAACCGTAACTGGTTTTAGTGGCATTACCAAGCTTTATATAGTGTCTAAAATGTCTATGTGTGGTTTAACAACTTGTGATATAAAACCCAGCGCTTAGCCAGGAAATGTTTGCGAATTTTGTTTTGTAAAAGTTCTATTTCTTACTTCGTAATTATCCCCAAAATAACCGAAGCATGAAACAATGTTTTTTATGTACCGTTTTAAAAAACCCCATAGGATATGACATTAAATTGTGTAATTAAAGATGGTAGGGAATCACTCGAAGATTTATACAGTTATCTAACGTGTCTTCTTCATGTCTAACCATAATCGAAGGTTCAACAAGATTCAATGCAATCACCTGCCAAACCGTTATATTAATCAAACTGCGATCTGTGCTGGGAAGGGTTTCTAAAGTGGACAACATTTGTTTTGTTCCTATTTGCTGATATGTCTTGTTATCACTGTATTTATTCGATTTGAATATTATCATTTTTATCTTACTTTCTACATGTTTTGAATGTCAACATATTTAATTGAATTTAATTACAGTTGTTGATTGCAACCTCAACATAAATTGACAAATTCTGGAAAACACATGATTGTAAACTATTTACGGACGTGAGAGAAATATATAGTGTAACGCCAAAAGATGCTCGTGATTCTGAAATGATATATGAGGGAACGAGTGGAACAATACAGTGTTAACAATAGGAGGGAACGAGTGGAACAATACAGTGTTAACAATAGGAGGGAACGAGTGGAACAATACAGTGTTAACAATAGGAGGGAACGAGTGGAACAGTACAGTGTTAACAATAGGAGGGAACGAGTGGAACAATACAGTGTTAACAATAGGAGGGAACGAGTGGAACAGTACAGGGAACGAGTGGAACAATACAGTGTTAACAATAGGAGGGAACGAGTGGAACAATACAGTGTTAACAATAGCGCAGAGTGGGGGGAGGGGCGGTTAACAGACCAAATGAAAACAACACTACTGTATTCCTTTTGACTATCTCATTTTTACCTCTCCTGGAAGCCATTATGCAACAGTCGTGTTCCACACAACCCTCATACACAAGCCAACTGGGATCTTCCTGTGGTACGGCAATTAGAAGAACCCAAATGTATCTGCAATGATGAAACCTACTCGCGTTAACCCAGCACAGCTCTTTCAAGTGTCGTGTCAGGGAATTGAGACAAAGATGCCACGGTCATTATAAACGAATTAAAGTTCAGTTAAATTAAGGTCCCCGGCAAACCTGTGAGTGATCTGACATTAAACGTCTGCAGGATAGATGCACGTGGCACGCGCTGTACATGGATATCACGTGTTGCGGTTTGGTTCCGCAAGAGTGACCATCGTGAGGCGTGGCACATGCTTGTGAGGGAACTGAGCCAGGCAGTAGTGGCAGCATTCGGGACATTTTATGTCTTTCTCTCAATACCTTACGTCTTTTTTGAGAATTTTTTTAAGCAGAATGATACGTCTACCTTCTTCCCCTTGTTATTTCTGTGAATCTTACATGGCGTGTTCCTTCATAAACAACTACTGGCATCAGTAATGGAAATAGATTCCCATTAGATCCACCACTTAACAACAATTAACTTATCAGCCGAGTAAGCAAAGTTCCTTCTCATATTGCGGAGGAGAACATGTGGTCATAGGGCGCTTCAGAGGAAACAGATTTACCAGAACATGGGAATTTATGATCACATGAAGAATGTGAAAATGTTGATCTTGGATCAGGACAAACTGTCTCTTTCCTGATGACCGAAAGTATTGCGACACAAACTGATACAACTTTAGATCTGATAAGCCTGATGAGGATATGGCAACGTTTATCAGCGAGTGTTGATATATACCACCCATCAAAAGTTTAGACTCACTAGTGTAAATGTAGCTGTTCTAAACTAGATTTTGCAAAATGTCCCATACTGTTTAAAGGTACTGTTTACACATGAAAACAAATTCGTAACTTTGAAAAGATTATTGTCGTGAGTTCAGTAAATGATGAAACTGAGTGAAAATTAGCGAATTCATGACAAAATTGTACACAAAACGCAGCTGTTCACATGCACAATATTTGCACATGCTTTTCAGCCGTTTGATGCATGATCCTCGTGCAATTCATCTGCATAAAGTTTGCAGTTGGTTATCCCAAGTTAGTGGAGAAATTCATCCTCGATGTAACTATATATAATATACACAACATATAGTGAGTGCTTCAAGTGAGTCTAAACTTTAGATGGGTAGTATGTTTGATATCCAGATCATATTAAACTTACTGATTATCTAAAACCATCCTTTTGTATACAATCGTCTCCTTGGTGTAAAATGAAGAGCGTACCAGCTTTAATGACAGAAACATTAGTGATTTTATTTGATTGTGGCATCCTGGTAACTAATGACGTCACACGTTGTGATGCAATTCCGTCGCATATATCTTTAAGGAGATATCGCTTGATCTTACCCAATCGATTTCTCCTTATGAAGCCAGGTTTGGATGAAAAAGTGAATTATCAACCCATTTGTTTTGTAGGAGGAGATTGCGGCAGTCAACATGGGACGTTACCGCAAAGCACAGCAGGAGCTGGAGGACAGTGATGCCAGGGTCAACATTGCTGAAGGCGCCCTGGAGAAGATGAGATCCAAGAGTCGCACTGTGACCAGCATGTCCTATGATATATAAACATCTAGATCTGCAGTTACCTCCCCACCACTGCGTGATAATGAAGGTCCTATAATGACGGACTTGAGGCGGAGCCATGCACTAGTGATGTTTCGTGACCTTAAGCCCTCAAACCTGTAAGCGTGGGTAGGAAGGCTCTGGATCTGATCAAAGCGCTCTGAAAGCATAGACTTGACAACATGCATATCGACAGCGAGATCAATAAGCGGGTTGTCACCTCGGTCAGTGATTTGCTACTATATCCCAAAGGACCAGTGAAGCTGCATATTCCATTACGCGGATATATACATGGTTAGGGCTGTAATGCTGCGCATTCCAGCACAATCACAGGCTTACTCTTCCATGTTCCTATATCAAATCACTGGGTGAGGCGGGACATACAGCTACTTCAAACTTCTTGACAAAAATGACCTTGACTGTGATAACTGGCACGGATGGTCTGCATAGTGCTGCTTTTTCTAACCAAACATCACATAGTTAGGGCCGCATTGCTATGCCTTCCAGCACCGACCAAACTGAAAGTTCTTTAATTCTGTTATGTTCAGAAACGAAACGTCTAGCAAGACTCGTAAAGATGGACCGTCCCGCACCGATATTACTGATACCTTAAAAGTTATAATTCTTCTGTGCAACTGCGGAAATATGAAACATCGGTGTGGCCAGGGTCGCGAGGTTTGCTGCTGTATACAGACATTTCCTCAGCCAGTGGTGCCGCGACAAACGCTGATGACGTCAGGCCTGCAGCCCCTGATCGAGGTTGGACAACCTATTGGTCGAGCACTCATGACCAATGATTCGCATAACATCATTCAGTGGTGTTACCATATGAAATGGTAACATTACATTTATAAGTAGGAGATATATAAATGGTATATATGAGAGCGTGAAACATCAGAGATCAAATCATGTCTTATTTATTAGGAACTGTGTTGTGTTTGTATATACATTATCCAGTATCCTTGAACCCGAGTTCAGAACCTGGAATAAAATATATCAATATACATTTATGTATAAACTTGTTTCTTTAACATCTTAGCTATAATGTTTTGAAAAATGTATTGGTCTACCCATTCCTTATAGTCTTTGTCATGGTGGAAAATATTCTCACCAACACATATTTCCCTGAGAATACCTGCAGACTGAACAGTTTCTAAGAATCGTTGTTTTACACAGACTCATTTTGACAGACTATATGTCCCAGGAAATGTTTTCACCCTTGACTTAAGACGCACTTTGATGTGTTGTAAGTGGAAACACATTTTCGAACATTCTACATGCACGGGCAAACATATTACATGCATCGTATGCTAGGAAGACTCGGGAATGTGCAGTAAGGCTATCTGCGACTATGACTTGTGTTTACCTCTATGGTGTTTGCGTTTATTTTCTTTTTCACAGTGTAATATTATCAAACATAGCAACTCTCTCTGTTCTGGTAAAATGTCTTTTAGGACGAATGCATACAAATTAGAACGCTAAAAGAAGTAAGTAGAGTTAGTCACAGTCTTTGGGGTGACTACATTGTGTATTTGCTTGCAGTGTTCACATAACACATGCTGCCCAGGTCAAAACAGCCCCCGAATAAAGCTTAAAAGCGAAAAGTCATTCGCAAAGAACACGTTAAAGGAATGCATGTCTACCGTGGACTGTGTATATAGTAACTGTCGCACAGGCCCATGGATGACTCACTGCAAATTCAGCAATTACATATTCCTTAAAACCTAAAATTACAACGTTACAACGTTGTTGGTTTTCACATTTTTCTGTTCCATTTTTCTGAAGGGTGAAATGACTCTACATCAATATGGAATAGATCTTGTAGTAAGGAATACGACGTACAAAAGTGTATTGTTCTGCTGAGTGGTAACCACAGCAACCTGCGCCTGGATCTGCTAATCCGTTAAGTGTCAGCACGCACGTGTTTTCACAGATTCTCAGAATTCTCTGCCGCATTTCTACTGCCAAAATTGATAAACGCGCCGCAAAACCTCCTCTCTTACCCTCGTACGCTATCGTGGTATTGACACACACTCGTTCCCTCAGACATTATAGTGCTAAACATTTTTCCAGATAATCTCGGTAAATGTATTTTTGTTGGCAATAATATTATCTGTCCAAGGGCATATTCATATGCATCCAAATGATAAAGCCACTGCAGCTTTGCTAACCAGTAACCTTGTACAGTTACGCATGGTATCATATTACTCTAAGAAAACACATAAATCTGTTTCCGTGTGTTTAGGGTGAGGTCGTTGAAAACTGCAGTGTAGGTTATAATACGGTAAAAACTGTCGACTTAGAAGTAGCTGATGGGTTATCTTATGTCCAGGGACACCTAGTAAATGTTTATTCGTGAAGTCAATAATTAAATTTCCTGTCGTTTCCCGAGATCAAATTAGTATCCAAGTATCCGATTGTGGGTGTGAAGTTTGGTTTTGATGGACACGCCGAATCACGGGTATTTATGCCCATGTTCGCTCTTACATTTACTACTGAACGTAAAGCTTATTACAAATATATCGGAATTTTCCCAGACACAGATATATTCACTCTGTCTACGTGTGTACTCGCAAGAATCACCTATCAGGCATCGAAAGTACACAAATGAAGGTAGAAAGCAGTGTTATTGATGGTACGAGAATTTTCCACTGATAGTGTCATACTTACTCTCTGCGCCCGTGGGTGTAGCCTCCATTAACGTTTGCCCTGTTTGAACTTTATTTGCTAAAGCGACTGTAGAATGAAAAGCGAGTTGTGCGGGATGCTCGTTTAGTACATATGAACCGAGTTGTTTAGCGATTGCGTTTACTCGGTGATGGTTTTCGGAGTTAAATGTGTATGCAAATGAAGGTAATCAAATTAATCAAATTTTCATACAATGAATATGGATAGGGAAAGTGTTTGACGAAGATCTGACAAGTTCTTTATGAACAGATGTTGTCTTGTTTCTGGGCAATTAGACGGGGAGCATGTCCGATAATGTTCTAATCTACAAACGTAGTTTTTTTTAATACGAAGCAGGTTATTTCAAGTCATTGCACTGGTATAATACAGCTAATCTGTATCTATCACTGTCATCAGTGGAACATTAAATGTCATGTCAATGTCTCCTCTCCACCATAATAAATAACTGTGGCGATATGCGCATGGCTGCACAGTAATTATCACACGCCCCCCTTGATGTGAGCGTGTGGCGCTACAAGAACCGGTAAGTGATACCCGGGCACATATGCTCGGTATGTAGAGATTCACGACTCGTATCATGGCACCCTGCCAGGACAGAAGTACAGTCTTGAGTAACATTCGGAATGCCTGCTGTTACTCGTATTTGACGTTTTTAAGAACGTTGCCACCAAAGAGACATTATGTGCATCAAACACACGTGTATGCGAATTCAATAAAGTCGTAGAAATGATAATATGCAGCAATTGACCAGATGTTTATGCAGGAAACATTACTACATGTAGTACATTGATTTATAACAAATATAAATAATCGAATTAATGGGATTTAGGATTAGAGAAATGTCGATAGCAGTTCTGTTCACTTTCGTATTTGACTCATGAATGCCTATTACTGACAGTCTTTGCTCTGAGTATAAATATAGAGAGTTTCCTATATGAACATTCAAAGTGTCTTTAAGCTGGCCATTAACAAAACGGACAAAAGAGAGTGAGTGAGTTTGGTTTTAGGCCGCTTTTAGCAATATTCCAGCAACAGGACGACGGGGCACCAGATATGGGATTCACACGTTGTACCCATATGGGGAATCGAACCCGGGTCTTCGGGGTGACGATCGAACGCTTTAACCACTAGGCTACCACACCGCCCTAAAATAATAGACTGCATCAAACCATGTTCATCATGCCACGTTGGACGGATTGTGTGGACGGATTGTGTGGACGGATTGTGGGCGGAGTGTGGACGGATTGTGTGGACGGATTGTGTGGACGGCTTGTGTGGACGGCATTTGCATGTGTACTCTAAGTGACATATGTATATACAATGAAACAGACAGGCTATACTACACATACAGCACATGTCACATGTATACTCTGTGCAATACATTTACTCTGTCTGTGCCACCCATAGCTACATACATGTATATTCTATGCCACATGTATATTCTATATGCCACCTATATATCCTTAGCGACATCCAATTCTTTGTAATTTACACACTCAATACACAGATACATTCAATGTCAGATGAATAATCAATAGGATATATACTCTATGTCACATATATCATCTATGCCACATGCATGTCCTATGCCACATGTATACTGTATGGCACACGTTAACTCTGTGTCTCTCGTATATTCCTCGTCACGTGTATACTCAACGTCACAATTCACACATATTACACATCTACTCTATGCCACATGCACACAACCCCACCCAGCATTTTCTCTCTGTAAATTGTATCATTTTCTTATATTCCACGTGTACTTTTAACACCATATACATTGTGCACTATTTGTATATTACATGCCACACCCGAGCTCTATGTCATGTGTGCAATTTATGTCAGTTTCCCGCTTCATGAGTCATTCCTCTGAGTTACAGTGCTGATGGCCATACAGCTGTTGTACACCTTGTGTAATGACATAACGTGTGGGGTCGGGACGGTTTTCGGTCATCGGCTGTCATTAGGGTGGGAGCTGTACATGACATGGAATAACCCACTCCCCGTAGACGCCTCTTCTTGTACTCACCATACATCGCCATGCATCTCAAAACTCGCTCCATCTGAGACATGACTTTGACCTGTTGCAGTATTCGCTAGTTAACAGACCACCACTTTTACAGAAATTCAAACATCGTGGTGTTATAATGGTTCAGAGCGCCACTTATACACAAATACACAAGCAAGGAAGTGGAAGCATCATCGAAATATTCATCTTCTCTACTTTTCTACTCTTCAGCTTCGTTTTGCAGAGTAGTCTCCCTTGGACCAAGTGGACAGTCATAGGAAATTTCATCCTCATTATGCAAACTAATGCAAATACCAATATTCGTTGCATAACAATTTACATTGTTTAACGGTAGTTACAGAAATTCGACTTAACCCGTCAGCAGACTTGTAAAGAAAACATAACATAACATTCTTCTAATCGCTCTATTTGTCACCCACACTGAACCCAGTTTGATCATTTGTAATTACAATATTTACTATAGTATAAGTTTTACTGCAAATTGTGCAAATAGCATTTGCAACTAATAGGGAAGGGCTGATTTTCAGTGAACCATTCACATATTTTTCACATAACTTTCACCACTTTTTTAATATATATTTGTATTTGAATAGTATAATTAATATACAGTCGTATTGTCAACTGTGACACTTGCATTGAGACACTATCTTTATGCAAGCGATGCCCTTTTGTTGTACCCCCCATACAACATCCTTTTTCAAAGTTGCATTTCGATAATTTAAGATATTTATACAATAACTACAACACATGTACCAGGTAGATACATCCGCTATAAAACGTCTAACGGGGACTTGTCTGGTAATCTACATGTATGCCACATGTACACTTCACTGTTACGACAGAATAACACTGGTGTCACATATCAACACGACAGCGTATGGGTATTTCAACTCTCTCCAAACTCTCCAGACATAACTACCACAAGCAGCATGAGTTCACCTGTTTACACACGCCAACCAATGTTATCCTTTACGCCTGTAGTCAGCAATAGTCATTACACAGTAGCGAGCTCCGCGTTACGTCACCTCTTATGACAAGATACCGAGACTGTACTTACACCATACGTACATCACTGATGGGTGGTAGCCAGGGTCGTTATAGCCGTATATCCATAACATTGTACAGGGATCGTTTTCAGGGAGAGGGTATTACTGGGAATGTATCTTGTTTGAAATTGTATTACTGAGATAGTCCTTCGCTTTGACAGTTCAAGTGTATGCTGTTTGACTAAGGCCGTTTCTGTGTTGTGGCAAGTCAAGTTGACATTGTATTAATAATAAGCGCACCCTTATTTGATAGTCCTGGCATGAAGTATGCCTTCCATACTATTCATTTCTATCTTTTAATAATCATCGGATAAACCCACGAAAAGCGGCAGAAAATCCCATAACGACGTTCGCTACGTAGGAGACAGGTATTCGAACTAATGTTCAGTGTAAGACACTTCGTCACCTGACGAAGGGGCAAGGAACAGCACAGAAACGTTGTGTATACAATAAAGAAGAAGTTGACATCCATAACAGTTTGCCTTATACTTAAATACCAACTTCTATATGCCTCTCGAGAACCTTATATTCAGTGGTTAACAGCCAAGGGACATAACCCTTATCACATATAATCAAATAAAGATCCCCAACAAACAAACACCCATCAACCCAAAAGAACATATGCCCAAAGAATTACAAATTATCATCAGACAGTGTAGTAACGAATCTTGATGGTTAACAATTTCTGTATTGTTTGTCACATATCTTCCTTATCGTCATGTGATTCCATCTTCTAAAAGCCTCTCAAAGACTTGATTTCGAGTAGTGGAGGCATCGGGTTAACCCTGTAAATATATCTACGTTACAGCGTAGACAACAAAAATGATCTAAACATGTTGAACTTTGGCGGAAGCTCGCTGCTTCACCGACCCTTTTCAGCAACCATAATCTACACTACACAGCATATTCCAATGGTAGTTTCAAAACACTTGCACGAATAACTTTGAACGAATTTTAATAGTACTGTATTGTACTTAGAGGATACCTTGAGTTCATAAATACACATGCTTTTAAGCCACGAGTCCATCACTTCTGAGAGGCACATATGTGTTAAACTATTATACATGTCAGATAGAGTAAGTGGGCTACAAGAGCAACTGAATATTCATGATGACTGCTGTTCAACATTTAAGTTAGACGTCAACCTTTCAAAAACAAAAATAATTATTTTTCGTATGGGTGGAAATCCTAAACAATGTGAAAAATGGTATTATCGTAATGAAATTGTAGAATTTGTTTAAGAAAAGAAGTACCTTGGACTATTGATTACTCCATCATTACATTTAACAAGAGAAGTATCACATTTGGCGTTAAACGGGGAAAGGGCATCTAATTAATATGTGTTTTCAAATTAGTTTGGACATATCGAACATTTTTCAAAATATTTGAAAAAGAAATTCAACCCATCCTTCGTTATGGATGCGAAATACGGGGACATGAAAAAAAAAGTGGTAGAAAGTGTCCAGTTCTCGCATGTAAACAATATCTGGGTTCAGGCATTATCAAACCCAATGTAATGGCTTTAGGGAAATGTGGATGATACTCATTGTTAATAGATAGTTTCGATAAGTGCATTAAATACTGGCTCTACATTACTACATTACTGATGATCACGAAACACCATGACTGTCAAGGAAGAACACACAGTTCAGAAGCACTAAGTTTGCAAAATGCCATTTTCTCAATTTCAGACAATGATCCTATTTCAGTAATGCTGCTTCACAACGTACTGTGTTTCCAACATTATATGCACCAAGTGTTCTTGTGGCGATATACTTATTGAATACAGTGTCAGTGACTGGACCCGTCGCGACTATTGACACTACTCTGTCACGTACTGGGGCGTCGCGTCTTCTTTCCATCCTGAGTACTTTATGATGCCCCCTTAATGCCATAACAGTGGTGTGTATTTCAAACATCACATTATAGTGGTCGCTTAATCAATTCAAGGATATTAGTTGATATAATGATTACATGGTATCTGCCGACGTAATGTTAACGTGTGCCAGTGGATTGGCTCCAGTGTTATGGTGGAAATGATGGTTTTGTAACATTCATCCCTATTACAATATACTGATCCCTGAATTCGACTACTATCTACTGAAAATGTTAGGCCCAACTGATGCAACATCACTAAACATTTACACCATAAACACAGAGGAAAGTTTTCTTATTATGCCATGTTAGAACGGCGATAGACTAACTGTGTTTTCAATATGGACGTTTCAAATTTACGATGGCTTTTTCTCCCAGCGACACAGCAGTAGCATGCGACTGATAATAGTAGGGTAACCCTAGTGAGTAAGTGGTTCCCGATATTTTAGAAACCTGTACATATCTATACTATTCACGCCTGATCAAATTCCAAAAATGTAAATTCAACTATACCTGATATAAATGAAAGTTTGTTGTGGCGACGTTTTCTTTAATTTTTCTCCCCGTCAACTTAACTGTTGCGACTGTTTTTCTCCACTCATTTTCTAAATGTATACGCTTCCATAAACACTGGTAAAACATGTAGAATGTAATTTGCATTGCATTTTCAACATGCATGGATAAATACGTAGTCAGTGTTTTCATTTTATAATAAAGTCAGTGGGCACAGCGATGAGTTGGTTAAAACAGCTGATGGAATGTTTTAAACTGTAAATCTTGTTTAAGAAATATGTCTTAATATTAAGTCTTAAAGTCTTCATTCAGTATTGGAGGCCTCGTGGCCCAGATTACAAGCTGTGTTGAAATACAAATTTCTGTGTGGAATTGCTTACTGCTTACAAGTTATTTTTGATAAGTACATTGAGGAACACATGTAGAAATAGTTATATTGTACAAGAAATGATAATGCAATGTATATAACATATGAAATCATGTTACTGCAAAATATGGGAATCATTTGGCATAAAGCTTTCTTTTCAAATACAATGCGAGTCCCTTTAAAATATCAACATTTGTTGAAGACATAAGTTGTTGTAGTTTTTCCCAGGAAGGATAGTGATGAAAATATTTTGGAATGAATTTATTTCTGCTAATATTACAATAATACTAGTCTAGAAGTGAATAATATACAAAGGTATTTATATTGACATCTGCATACATCTGTGGAACCATTTTTCAACCGTTTTAAGATAACCACCACTGCGAAAAACAATGATTTTTTACTTATCTAAATTTACTTCCATGCCCCATTTATCACAGAAAGATTCCAAAACATTTAATATAACACATTTCAAAGTTTAGTTCACTTACCCGTCTTAGTTGTGATATGGCAACACAAATCATTGACTGCTTAGAAGTTTCAGAAGATTGTCCGGCATGACTTGTTCTTGGCCTTATCGATCGTTCTTCCACATCTACATCATCAGTGAACGAAGTAATGCACACGAAGAAGCACAGTATACTGACACTAAACGGAAATACATACAAGCAGTCACACCAATACACTGGTGGATGAATACCGTCCAAAACATATTTGTGATATATTTTTTACAATTACACTGCTCAAACAATAACGTTTTTATTCTCACTAATGATAGGTTCTAAATACACATATCCTTGTTAATTATGTTTTTGAACGAATAATAATTAGGAAAATGATACATAATACTGAGATTGTTCGAGGGTGAATAGCTTGAATGAATACTCATCAACAGACAGACGAAATATCGAACGAATTCGCTGAGATGAAAAGTCATGGCTACAATGAACATACGTATATCTTGCAAAACAGACTACACAAAACGAGTTTCTCAGCATGAGTCGGAAACCTTTCTGTGTCCAATGCTGTTGGGCTCTGCGTGATACCTTTTTCGGTAAGAGGTTATGTCAGTGGTCTGGCATTGGAACTGGACCTATCGCGTGCCAGCTTACATAATATATTGATCAAGACTAGGGTATATAGACGGGTAGAGTCTGTGAGGAAAACAGAACGGCCCTGATCGTAAGTGTTGCAGTTCTCCTGTTGTGTGGAGTCAATATGATATATCTAGCTTAACCTTTTACTTGTGTTTTTTGTTAAATCATTTTATCTTCCTCTGATTACGAAGATGACCCACATTACCGATTTATTGCCTATGTCATTCTGATGCTTATAAGGTTAGTGTCTCTAAGGAGAATTCAAGAATGTGTTTAATAAGTGTACATGTTGCACAAATGTCACATCTGAAAATGAATATTTATTTTTTTGAATTACTTATTCAGTTGCAGAGCTATTCGACAGTCATTTTTCTTACTTTCGACGTATCTTCGTCTGTATCGTCGATATGGCCTCCTACGACCCCGCCGACCCTGAGATGCAGTATCTTGCTGTGGACCGCAAGAAGCTGCTGAAGGAGCAGAACCAGTCCTTCGATGCCAAGAAATCTTGCTGGGCGCCCGACGAGGAGCAAGGCTTCATTTCCGCAGAAATACAGAGCACATCAGGGGACGATGTAACAGTTCTCCTAATTGACTCCAAGCAGGTTAGAAATACATTTCAGGAATTATTTTATGTCATTTAAACCGAATCATCAGGTCACATAATAAAGCAAACCCACACGCATAAAGAGGGAGTCATAGCTTTGCAATTACAGTCAAACCCAGTTAAGTCGAACTCGTCGGGACCAAGGAAAAGGTTCGACTTATCCGAGTGTGCGACACATACGTCAGCATAGAAATGACCAAGTACCAACACGTCCAAAGTGCTTACATCATAGGCTATACATACGAACAATAAATATTTGCAAGAAACGTTTACTGCACTACTGATCATTAAATTGGAATATATAATCTACGTGACAACAGCATGCCCATTGTTTGTTTAGAGATTTTCCTGTCGGTCTGTGATGAACGTGTCACTGGTAACAAGTTAATTAAGGTTAATTGTGTCAATAATGAATCAAGTGTGATGACAATATGTGTATAGATGTGTAGCTAAACATGCCACTTGATTGTTGAATCTGTGAATCCGCACCTTCGATCTTTTGGTAGCACGTTTATGAGCATAATTTTTTACTGCGCGAATGAAGTTTTCAGTTGCAAGAACCTTCTTTGACAGTTCAAGACAAAAGGGTAAATTTGTACTTATTAGAGCATTTGGGTACCCTCAAATGAGTTCGACACAACCGGGAATTCAACACATCTAGTAGAGACATCAGGGTAAAAATAATGGGGTCGAGAACTCATATCAATCGAGTTCGAGACTTTGGGGTTCGACTGTATTTATTTCTTATTCATACAGTTACAACTTCTTGCAAGAGGTTATTACTGTGGAATATGTAATGGCAAAGAGGTATTAAATACAGGATGCTTTTTCTTTTCAGACGAAGACGTTCAAGAAGGATGACATCCAGTCGATGAATCCTCCCAAATTCGAGAAGATCGAGGACATTGCTAACATGACCTTTCTCAACGAGGCCAGCGTTTTGCATAACCTCAGAGCTAGATACACATCTGGTCTGATCTATGTGAGTTAACACATTGTCATGAAGTAAAGACAATTATTCAATAGGTGTGCTTGTATTCAGTGAGGGCAGTACCTTTATTACATTTAACTTCGTCATCAATGAAATCTATAAATAAATGAATTTTTAATGTAGTGTCCAAAGCTATATTTGGAAAATCACATTAAATAAATTTCATTTTTCTTAATAAATACATCAACCATCAATTGGAATATCTGAATAAATTAACAAAGAATGAATATGAGACAGTTGTATCCCTCAGACAAGTATGACCCTAATATATATCCCGCATTATGACAGACCTATTCGGGCCTGTTCTGTATCGCCATCAACCCCTACCGCCGTCTCCCCATCTACACCCCGTCCATCGTGGCCAAGTACAGAGGCAAGAGGAAGACCGAGATGCCTCCTCACTTGTTCTCCATCTCTGACAACGCCTACCAGTTCATGGTTCAGGGTAAGTAGCACAGCAAACTAACGTGCACATTACTTTTCGAATATGTAAAATTACGTTTCAATTGTTCACATATTAGTGGGTGAATAATTTGGGCATTTCAGTCATATAAAGGCGCTCCATAATCTTGGTAAGTGAAAAGAAGGCCCGTAATGACCACAGCTCTATTTGTAACATTTGGGCCTCCTTTCACAAAGCATTAAGGTGATCCTAAGTCACTAAGGTAACCTTAGTGCACTGTTAAAGAATGGGAGTTAAGGGAATACCATTGTAACATAGTTTAAATCTACCACTCAAAGTTATTACGAATTCCTGCTCACAGGCAACTGGGACACTCATGTCCTACTAGAAAATGTTGCTTGGAATGAATTATACAGTCAACCATGTTTCCATATTATCCTTTTCATTTCAGATCGTGAAAACCAGTCTATGCTGATTACGTAAGTATAAACTATAGAATTAGTTGAGGTTGCCAATAAATTCAAATTAGGGACAAGAAAACATATTATGGCCTAATGCAACAGATGTCCGCAAGTGTTTTTTGATACTTACTTTCAGTGTCGAATCGTGTATTTTGTTTTATTAAGTGGCGAGTCTGGCGCCGGGAAGACTGAGAACACCAAGAAAGTCATCGCCTACTTCGCCTTTGTTGCCGCCGCTTCGAAGGGAGAAGGGGAACAAGAGGACAAGAAGGTGAGAAATCAAGATCTTCTTATTTTATTATAACTACTGACAGGGAAGCCTTTCTGATGGTGAAGTGGCAGTAAAACAAATGTTATTCCTAATCTTTTTTCTTCTGATTCCAGGGCTCCCTCGAGGATCAGATCGTGCAGGCTAACCCTGTTCTTGAGGCCTACGGTAACGCCAAGACATCCCGTAACAACAACTCCTCCAGATTCGTAAGTTGCCGAATATTCCAAAAATGAGTTTTCATTAACAACGTAATGTAAATCCATACATATTTTCTTTCTTTGTAAGATTTTGTGAAGCTTTTAGTTTTAACACGTTTGTTCGGTATGTGTAATACGTTGGACACATAGGATAGACACAATTCCTTTCTATCTTTTCTATTTAAGTATATTTTCTTCCATTCAAGGGTAAATTTGTCCGAATTCATTTTGCCTCCTCTGGGAAAATTGCTGGTGCTGACATTGAAACTTGTAAGTAATAGAACGCTTTCTAACATAAATACTTTATTGATTTAAAGCTGATAATATGCAAAATATGAATTCGAAATATTTAAATGGTAAATGTCGATCTGAGTATACAGAAAACACTTTTAAACTTATTTGTGATATGTGGACATAACATAGACGTACATAAATGCATATATGTAGCACCTCTGATAAAAATGAATACTGAATACGTCTGTGTCTTTAAACAACAGACTTATTGGAAAAGTCCCGTGTCACCTACCAACAGTCTGTGGAGAGAAACTACCACATCTTCTACCAGATGTTGTGTGGAGCTTTGCCATCAGTTACAGGTAAAAAGTAGTGTTACATGTTGATTCCCAAGTTGAAAGTTAAACGTTAACTGGGAATGTATAGTAATTCTATCCTTTAAAGAGGCGAGTCTAGATAAGCGGACAGAACTCTTTGAGTGATATTTATATTTAATAGAAATGATAACTTAAACTATTTATTATTACCTTAGAGACTTGTGCAAATCTAAGTATCAGGTTACCTCAGTTGTTTTTACACGTGAATATTTTATTTTGTTCCAGAAACGATTCTAGCCAAACCTGACGCTGGGTTGTTCACCTTCATTAACCAGGGAGTCCTTACTGTCAATGGAATAGACGATGTGGAAGAAATGAAGATGACTGATGTAAGATATAATTATATTTTGAATGAGCTTCTTACCACGATACATATCAAGACTATCGTTGATTATTCTAAACTCATATCAGTATTTCATACACGCCTTAACCTGAACTGAAAAAACCCGTTTGAATTTGTTTCTAATTCCAGGCTGCCTTTGATGTTTTGGGATTCACCGCTGAGGAGAAAACCAGCGCCTACAAGTGCACTGGCTCTATCCTCCACATGGGTGAGATGCAGTTTAAGCAGAAGGGAGAACAGGCTGAATCTGAAGGAACTGCTGAAGCTGAGAAGGTTGCTCTTTTGTTGGGTGTCAACTGCGGTGACTTCCTGAAGGCTCTGTGTAAACCCAAGATCAAGGTGGCCATGGATTATGTCACCCAAGGACGAACCAAGAATCAGGTTCTCTACTCTATCGGTGCTTTGGCCAAGTCCCTCTATGATCGTGTGTTCAACTGGCTGGTGAAGAGAGTCAACCACTCCCTGGACACCAAGAAACCGAGGCAGTTCTTCATTGGTGTTCTGGATATTGCTGGCTTCGAGATCTTTGATGTAAGCAAAACATGTATCTGTATTAATATATCCACTAGAAAATGACCAAGATGATATATCATAATATAAGATTACAGACATTATTCTTGTCATCCCATCCATAGTGAGTGTGAGTGAGTGAGTTTAGTTTTACGCTGCACTCCAATCCCGTTAGTCAGTTCTTACGACAAACATGGGCTACTGAAGGTCAGTTATAATCCGGATCTCCACGGGTCATCCCGTCCATAAATGGCCGACACATATTTCTATTACGGTATCAGCTGTTAAATTTCTGTGCAAACTTTATTCCAGTTCAACAGCTTCGAACAGCTGTGTATCAACTACACCAACGAGCGACTGCAGCAGTTCTTCAACCACCACATGTTTGTGTTGGAGCAGGAAGAATACAAGAAGGAAGGCATCCAGTGGGAGTTCATCGACTTTGGCATGGACTTGCAGGCCTGCATTGAGCTCATTGAGAAGGTAGACATTGGCACTGTCGAAGTATTAGTATGAATAGATTTGTTACCTTTCACATACATCCACTCGAAATATTCGGATGTATCAAACCTATTTGTCAATATGTTAATTTCGTCAAAATCACTTTAAAACCCTCACCTAAACTGTTCATCCAAGTATGTTAGTTTGATCGTTAATTATGTGTTACCTATTTGTAGCCTCTTGGCATCCTGTCCATCTTGGAGGAAGAGTGCATGTTCCCCAAAGCATCAGACAAGACCTTCAAGGACAAACTAACTCAGAACCACATGGGCAAATCTCCTAACTTCCTGAAGCCCAGCAAATCTATGAAGGGTGGTGCACATGGTGACTTCGCCCTGAAGCATTACGCTGGTACAGTTCCCTACAACATTGGAGGCTGGCTGGAGAAGAACAAGGACCCTGTCAACGAGACCATTGTGGATCTCCTGAAACAGTCTAAAGAACCACTCGTCCAGCTGCTGTTCTCCCCACCAGCAGGAGGTTTGTTAAATCACATAATTGAAGAAATATGTCTATAGAATAGTTTTTATGAAATAATATTTTGAAAAAAAGGATTTTGTGGAAATTGCATGATATATCATAACAAAAGAGTTTTATGATCACTGTTAAACATATAAAAATGAATGTTTCAGAATCTGCTGAAGCCAGTGGTGGAAAGAAGAAGAAGAAGAGCTCTGCCTTCCAGACAATATCTGCTACACACAGGGTATGATGTTAAGAAGACCATTAATCTAAAATATGTTATACATTAAAATGCTGATTGGGATAAACCACAGTAGTGACTTTTGATATAACCCCTTGAAGATATGAGTGATATAATATGCAGATTTATCATAATTCATCACCATTTTTTGTTTCTACTAGGAATCTCTCAACAAACTGATGAAGAACCTCTATTCAACACATCCTCATTTCGTGCGGTGTATCATCCCCAACGAAACCAAGACACCAGGTATGGGGAGAGGTTTTACGGCTTTTGCGTTCTTTTCTCAGCATTTAGATATGATAATTGACTACCTGCTCACGAAGGTACATTAACTCATAGACATCTATTGTAGGTCTGATTGATGCTGGCCTTGTGCTCCACCAGCTTCAGTGTAACGGTGTACTTGAGGGTATCCGTATCTGCAGAAAGGGATTTCCGAGCAGAATCATCTACTCCGAATTCAAACAGAGGTATATATGTAATGCTAAACTATTTGGATTAATGTAATTTCAACTGAAAGTAGTAAAACACTTTGTTGTCTTTGAAACCATCTGAATACATTGATGAAATACCAAATACAATTACTGTTCAAACGCGGTTGTAGAGATGCTGAAGTTTCTTTACTTCTTTTCTTCTTCAGATACTCCATACTGGCTCCCAATGCGATCCCAGAAGGATTTGTTGAGGCCAAGGTAGTTTCTGGCAAGATTCTGGAGGCTCTGGAGTTGGGTCAGGATGAATACCGTCTTGGAAACACAAAGGTGTTCTTCAAAGCAGGTGTTCTTGGTTACCTGGAAGAAATCCGTGATGAACGTCTGTCAGTTATTGTGGCTTTGTTCCAAGCTCACATTCGTGGTTACCTAATGAGGAAATATCTCAAGAATCTTCACGATAAAAGGTAAGTTTTGACAGTGCAGACCTAACAACGATTCTTTCCTCTAAAACTTAATACTTACTGTTTAAACATATTTATACTGGAGTGCAATATTTCAGAGCATTCTTGTCTGTTTCAGGGTTTCCTTGGAACTGATCCAGAAGAACATCCGTAAGTGGCTTGCCATGAGAAACTGGTGCTGGTGGAGATTCTACACCAAGGTCAAGCCCCTCCTCAGTGTTGCTGCTGCTGAGGACGAGATGAAGCAAAAGGAGGAGGCACTTGGCAAAACAAAGGGTGAACTTGAGAAGGTGACACAGAGGTGCAAGGAGCTCGAGGAACAGAGCGTGACCTTAACAGAGGCCAAGAACAACTTGTTCCTACAGGTTCAAACTCAACAGGATACCATCGATGACTGTGAAGAGAGGATAGAGCAGCTGCTGAAGCAAAAGGAAGAAACTGATGTTCAACTAAAGGAACTGAATGAGAGTTTAGTGGAGGAAGAGTCTAAAAATGCAATGCTGACTGAAAAGCAGAAACAGATGGACACTGAAATCTGTGGCCTCAAGACAAACGTCGAGACTCTTGAAGGAACTGTATCAAAGGTATATGTCATTGCTCTTCTAACTAACATTTTCAAAATGTCATTTTGCATTGAAGTATTTTACTGGAAGCAAAATATTAAACATTGTTCAGTACAACGTGTTTTGATATATTTCACTCAGAATATTCATGGACTGCTTTGTTCTACAGTGTCAACATGACATCAAAACGAAGGATGGTCAAATCAGAACACTCAATGACGAAATGGCCCAACTGGATGAAATGGTTGCCAAACTAACAAAGGGCAAGAAAGATGTTGAGGATCACCTTGCCAAGACTAAGACCAGTCTTGAAACGGAGGAGGACAAAAATGCCAATCTCAATAAATTGAGACAGAAACTTGAAGGTGCTATTGTTGAGGTAGGACTTAACTAGTAACTAAAAGCAATCAAGGAATACTTACTGTAGTCTGCTTACCACATCAAAATACGCATTCTAAATTAATACTTTGAAGTTCTATTTGAACTCCAATGATCATAAAATCAACATCTGTGATCGCGAGTTAAATATGTATTTATGATTGGTAGCTCGAAGATATGCTCGACCACGAAAAGAAGGTCCATGCAGAAGTTGAGAAAGTCAAGAGGAAGTTGGAACAGGATCTGAAGGCTTCGAAAGACAACTGTGAAGATCTCGATCGCATTAAGACTGATCTTGAAGAGACTCTTAAGAAGTAAGTAAACAAAGAAGATACACATACGCTCAAAAGGATGATTTTGTTTTCCTGCTACCTTCAAAATGTATTTTAGATAAGTTGCATTTTGTCACTTGTGAAAAGTGTTAAAATCAAATCGTTTGCCTTGTTCAGGAAGGAAAAAGAGATCACTGTTCTTACATCTGAATTTGAGGACTCTGAGACTCGTGGTATCCAACAACAGAAGAAAATCAAAGAGCTTCAGGTAAATAATATAACTTATTTTAGCAACATAACGACCAGTTAACAGTTATCCATGGCATTGTAATTATTCTTATGGTGTGTGAACTTGCAGATACTCTTTTACAGGATTCCTGTGCATATGTGAATTATCATTTTCAATCATTCCCACTTTATGTTCCTACCAGAACTACCTTGAGGAATGCCAAGAACAACTCGAATCTGAACGACAGACAAGATCCAAGGTATGATCAATGGCTGATTGGATTGATAGATTTCAGATATGGGCACCTTGTTCCTGTAGTGAGAGTGGCCTTTATGGTCTTTTATACATGCGTAGGTTTTTCCAAATTATTTACCAAAGAACTCCATTTTGTAAACTGAAACATATCTCGCATGGTCAGTCAGCAGTTTTTATATATTTTATACCTCCGGTTTAAAATGGTATGAATACATTTTAATTTCAGGTGGAAAAGCAGAGAGCCCAGTATGCAAATGAAATGGACGATATGGCCCAGCTCATCGAAGAAAATAATTGCACAATTGCTTCACAGGTAAAAATGCGTTAATATTCTTGATATTGAAGATGTAGCGTTTTGTCTTCTTTCTTTCCAAACTCAAACTCAACATACAACGACATACAGCGAACTTTACTTCTAAAATCTAATGATGGTAAAAGCGAGAATAAATGACTCACTTCATACATACTTAACTGATAAAGATGTTTAATATAATAAACATATTTCGACAGTCGGACGTTATCAAGAAGCGTGAGACGGAAATTCAAAAGCTGAAGCACGACATGGAAGAGGCATCATCCCAGCATGAGTCTCAGGTGGCCAACTTCCGCAAGAAGCAGAAGGATGCCATGACTGAGATGAATGATCAGATGGAACAACTTCAGAAGGTCAAACAAAGGTAATGTGCCAATTTCAAATAATAATCATATTGATTTGATGTGCGAATAGACAGCCAAAGTAGTAGTCTTGATGACTAGTTAATTGTTGCATATATGTACTTGAATTTCCCGAAAAACAAATAACGATAAATAGGGGGCTCAGCAAAGGGATAGTTATGAACTACATGTACTTGAATGACATTTCGAAGAATACTCGTATTTGCTACTAAAGGCAGACGTATCGCGTTCTACACATCTAGTAATTGTGTTTTCATTTACTATACAAATGACAATTAGGTAGTGAGACAAGAAAATCAATCTTGAGGATAAGATCAGCATTTGGTTATTTCTTTCTAGGTTGGAGAAAGAGAAAACTCAACTGAAGGCTGATGTTGATGAACTGCTGAATGAAGTAGAGCACGCCAAGAAAAACAAGGTATGTTCGTGTAACATAAACACCACAGTAAGAAAATATATAAAATGAAGATTTGTCACATTTAAATCATTATAGCATATATGTATATTATCTTCATAAATCTCTTTGCCAGGGATGTTCGGGTGTGATGTCCAAGCAGATGCATACCCAGATGACCGACCTCAATACCCAGCTCGAGGAAAGTGTCCAGCAGCTCAGTGAAATGCAGATAGAGAAGAACAGACTGATGACGGAGTCTGCTGACCTTACCCGTCAGCTGGAAGAAGCTGAACACAGAATTGGGAAACTTAGCAAGGACAAATCATCTCTCAGTGTTCAGTTGGAAGATATAAGACGTACCTCTGATGACGAACAGAGGGTTAGTTTCTTAACTGAATATATATATGTGTGTTGATTTCAGGTCAGCCGATAATGTGTGAGCTATCTTTACAACTGTGTTTACACCACCTCCCAAAATATCAAATTATGTGAATATTCATGCTTGAGTTTCTGACGTGAGTAAACGTGACTTACAGAAGTAGCTCCAACCAAACCATCGATAAAGCAAACCTTGGAACGTCAGGTGCTACGTGTCTGGAAAGCCTGGTGACATTAGGCTTCTATCTCTCCGGTAAAATTCGTGTATTTGTCATTTCCATCCTAGGTGGACAAGTTTCGTTTTCTTGTGGCAGAGCTGAGTCATCCCTCAGAAGCAACATGAAAATCGCATTTTCATCCGTTTACCTCGGTAATGAAGTGGATGTACGCATATATTTTCTCCGATTAATTTAGCATTGAAACCAAGTGAAGTTGTTTGATAGATTACAATATAATTGTTTGTCTCCTTAGGTGCGTCAGCGACTCCAGACTGAGATGAGGAACATGAACACTGACATGGTCAGCATTAAGGAACAACTAACAGAGGAGCAGGAGGCTCGATCAGCTCTACAGCGCCAGTTGTCCAAGTCTAACCAAGAGATGCTCATGTGGAGGTCTAAATATGAAACTGAGGGTACTGTCAGGGTTGAGGACCTTGAAGAATCTAGGTAAGCATAAAAAGTAAAACAGTTGTGTATATAAAATTTTTTGATAAATCATCAATTTCTGCTTTGTTCTAAACACATGAACTGTATACAACTTGATACAAGGAAATGATTATGATTTTGTTGACTTCACAGACGCCGAGTCCAAGCCAAACTGACTGAAGCTGAGCATGAACTGTCCACTGCCAATGCTAAAGCCAGTTCTCTTGAGATGAGCAAAGCTAAGATGGTAGGCTATGTTGAAGTTACATACCTTACTTTACATTGGTTGTTATGTTGTTTGATGAGTTTGAGTGCCATTAGAATCTGTCTGAAGCAACCCAATTTTGGCAAGAAGTAAGTCTCACTTACATCGTTGATACATGCCATCGCACCGCATTTGCTCTGACAAAAGCTAAATATTCAATCCCTGCACTGTCAGGCCCAGACAATATGAAAACAAACAACAGACAGATTTCTTGGACTTCTTTCAACAATGTCAGCAAAGTTAACGCATCGCCAACTTCATATCAACAAACATACAGTTTGTTATGGGCGGTTTTGTTAAGTATTTCTTGATGCACACACATATTTTAAAAGGAAAGATTATTTATTGCTAGGTGAGAGATCTCGAGGATGAGCTTGAGAAGGAACAAATGCGTCATTGTGAGTGCGTGAAAACCTGCCGTCAATACGAGCGTCGTATGAAGGAGATGACCTACAAAGTTGACGAAGACAAGAAGACCATTGACAAACTGCAAGACATCATTGACAAGCAGAGTGGCCAAATGAAGATGTTCAAGTCCCAGGTGGCAGATGCTGTGAGTATCACATGTCAACTTGAAGCTAGACAATTGAACGATACATTACTGGCAAACAAGGATAAGTTGAGCACCGACCTGACAATTGACCCGTATTAGCATGTATGAGTGCCGCCCACTGGCGCTTGCCATTGTTAGCGAAGGGGCCCCAGGTTGTCCGCGATCAAGCGTAGTGCGTTGAGTGAAGCAAGGCGCAAGATATGTGCAGCTACGCGAGGAATCAATTTCATCGTCATGCAATGCACGTGCACTAGCCTACATCTGCTCTAACTTTCACAAACCAAATGGGTTTGCTCATGGCCGTGCACCGCCTACTTCTCGTAAACGCGTTCTCTGCGCCGGTCCAACTTATCCCTGCTTGCAAGTAGGTACAAATGATTTCCACTATGATGTAAATCATTACTCAATATTCTGATAACTGGTTTGTTTAGTCCAGACATGTCGCCGTAGGGTTGCAAGGGTATTGCTGTTGCATCACACTAACGTTTACATCATATTGGAAAGCGTGGGAGTAGCGGGTGTTTCCAGTAGAGAAGGACACGCTTCCCTCTTTAATGATCAAGAGGTGTCACGACTGATTTTACATGATCAAATCATATGAATTTGCCTTTACGCCTAGTTGGATCTCTCACTGGATACAACCGAGAGTGATCATTTGATCATTTGAATTTCGTTCAATCTACATATATATTTTCTCCACTTTCAATTCTTGGTTTACAAACACGGCATGAATACGTTTTAAAAGTAATTTGCAAGCTTCACTCATTCGTACTTCTTCCACAGGAGGAGATGGCGACTATGAACATGAACAAATACCGAAAAGTGAAAAAGGAGTTGGAGGATGCTGAGACCAGGGCCAGCATGGCTGAAGAAACCATGGCCAATTACAGCAGGAAGACTCGTACCTACACCGTCTACCCCGATACAACATACTAACCACAGGGGTCTGAACGTGGGCAGGAATGGTTCCTGAACGAAGATGTTGATGTGATATCTATGAAACGGTTCTTGTGGTCCTCCAGACCTCGAGAAGATTCGAAGCAAGTTTAATGAATGAGGTGGTGTTTGTCAAAGACACCTTTTCATGGAAGACAGTGAAATATACCTTTCTTGATCCAGTTTGATTATTTGTAACGCACAAAATATATTTATGCTATTTATTACTTCTTATGCAGCTGAACTGACTGTATACCAAATAAATATTTATTGCTTTAATCATGGCCTATGTTGTGTATATTTCATGGTCAATTCTTTCTGCGAGGTGTTCAAAACCTATACAGGCACGTACATCATACTCACCTAAATACGTTACCTCTACGCATAGGTCAAGTCCAGTGACACAGTGTGTCCTTGACATTCTCCACTACAAACCAACACTGACTCCAATACGACCAATTATCACTGTCTGTATATGCGATTTCTCGTGGGGATATTCACACATTACGTATGGGTGTTGTTGAAGGTGCCAGCATATGTGAAGGTATTACACCTGTCGTAATAACGTTCTTATATATTTACTTTGTGTCAAATAAGACAATCAGCTCTATGGCGATCCTCTGTACAAATCGGTACACACACGATGAACATATAATACTGGTACAGGTATCTTGCGAGGTCCGCGGGAAATGGTTGCAATGTCATGCTGGACATGTTACGCTACATCTACGCTGGAATGACGTTATGTTGATGAACATGGTGTATATCACATATATCAGAAATTAACATTGATTTATTATGTCTGATTTTAGCTACCGGTATTTCTGGGAATGTTTGATATGTAATCTTCAGCAAACTGTTTTGTTCTTTGCAATATTATACGCTTTGATTAGACAGAGTTCAGTGTCTGGATCGATATTTGTACATATGGGACTTGGACACAGATTTGTTCTCATGTCTTCAAGTTAAGATAAGGTAACTTACGATCAAAAGCCTTTAAGGAAATTATACGCCATCGGAAGCACTCTGTTCCTTTAACACATAGTCACGGCCTGGTACACACTACATTCCTCCATCATATCATCAATACATGACTGACTTGTACACACTACGTTCCTTCATCATATCGTCAATACATCACAGGCCTGTATAGACAGCGTTCCTTCATCACATCGTCAATACATCACGGGCTTGTATACACTGCGTTCTTTCATCACATCATCAATACATCACGAGCTTGTACACACTGCGTTCTTTCATCACACCAGCAATACATCACTGACTTGTGTACACTACGTTCCTTCATCACATCATCAATACATCACGGACTTGACTACACTACATTCCTTCATCAAATCATCAATACATCACTGGCTTCTATACACTACGTTCCTTCATCACATCAAGAGCTTGTACTCACTGCGTTCTTTCATCACACCAGCAATACATCACTGACTTATGTACACTACGTTCCTTCATCACATCATCAATGCATCACGGGCTTCTATACACAGCGTTCTTTCATCACATCATCAATACATCACGAGCTTGTACACACTGCGTTCTTTCATCACACCAGCAATACATCACTGACTTGTGTACACTACGTTCCTTCATCACATCATCAATACATCACGGACTTGACTACACTACATTCCTTCATCACATCATCAATACATCACTGGCTTCTATACACTACGTTCCTTCATCACATCATCAATACATCACTGACTTGTATCCACTGCGTTCTTTCATCACATCAGCAATACATCACGGACTTGACTACACTACGTTCCTTCATCACATCATCAATACATCACTGACTTGTACACACTACGGTCTTTCATCACATTGTCAATGCATCACGGGCTTGTATACACTGCGTTCCTTCATCACACCGCCAATACATCACTGACTTGTTTACACTACGGTCTTTCATCATATCGTCAATATATCACTGACTTGTACACACTATATATATATAGCTACGTTCTTTCATCACATCGTCAATACATCACTGACTTGTATACACAACGTTCTTTCATCACATCGTCAATACATCACTGACTTGTACACACTACGGTCTTTCATCACATCGTCAATACATCACTGACTTGTATACACTAGCGTTCCTTCATCACATCGTCAATACATCACTGACTTGTATACACTACGTTCCTTCATCACATCGTCAATACATCACTGACTTGTATACACTACGTTCCTTCATCACATCGTCAATACATCACTGGCTTGTATACACTACGTTCCTTCATCACATCGTCAATACATCACTGACTTGTATACACTACGTTCCTTCATCACATCGTCAATACATCACTGGCTTGTATACACTACGTTCCTTCATCACATCGTCAATACATCACTGGCTTGTATACACTACGTTCCTTCATCACATCATCAATACATCACGGACTTGTATACACTACGTTCCTTCATCACATCATCAATACATCACTGGCTTGTATACACTACGTTCCTTCATCACATCATCAATACATCACTGACTTGTATACACTGCGTTCTTTCATCACATCAGTCAATACATCACGGACTTGACTACACTACATTCCTTCATCACATCATCAATACATCACTGGCTTGTATACACTACGTTCCTTCATCACATCGTCAATACATCACTGACTTGTATACACTACGTTCCTTCATCATATCGTCAATACATCACTGACTTGTATACACTGCGTTCCTTCATCACATCGTCAATACATCACTGACTTGTATACACTACGGTCTTTCATCACATCGTCAATACATCACTGACTTGTACACACTACTGTCTTTCATCACATCGTCAATACATCACTGACTTGTACACACTACTGTCTTTCATCACATCGTCAATACATCACTGACTTGTACACACTACGTCCCTTCATCACATCGTGAATACATCACTGGCTTGTATACAGTACGTTCCTTCATCACATCGTCAATACATCACGGACTTGTATCCACTACGTTCCTTCATCACATCGTCAATACATCACTGGCTTGCATACACTACGTTCCTTCATCACATCGTCAATAGATTACGGGCTTTTATACACCACGTTCCTTCATCACATCATCAATACATCACGGACGTGTATACACCACGTTCCTTCATCACATCATCAATACATCACGGACGTGTATACACAGCGTTCCTTCATCACATAATCAATACATCACTGACTTGTATACACAGCGTTCCTTCATCACATCGTCAATATATCACTGACATGTATATACTACGTTCCTTCATCACATCGTCAATACATCACTGATTTGTATACACTACGTTCCTTCATCATATCGTCAATACATCACAGGCCTGTATAGACAGCGTTCCTTCATCACATCGTCAATACATCACAGGCTTGTATACACAGCGTTCCTTCATCACATCGTCAATACATCACTGACTTGTACACACTACGTTCTTTTATCAAACCGTCAAAGCATCACTATTGTTCATTGCATCGTCAGTGCATCATAGACTTGAAATAGTAAGTTGTGTCAAATACATTGAATATTGGACAGGTCGTCAATCACGTTCTGCCAAAAGTTGGAAGATCACAAATAACAGAATTTAACTTTGTATTGGAGTAAAACAACCGATGCTTTTAAGTGTATTTTGCTTTCCTTCTGTACATTCCACTGATCACACTTGGCTATTAAGTGACACTAGGTGTGAGACACTAGGTGTGAGGAACATGGGTGCACGTGAGAGAGTAGTTTGATGAAAGAGACTGCGCATACCGTGTAGCTACACATCTCACATTCTATCGAAATATCGAATTGAATGTTTTAATCATGAGGTGTCGAACTGACCAATGGTAATTATATTTGGGGTGACACATTATCACGACCAAGATATTTTGATGTGTGTAAACTTTCCTCGTCATGTGAAATTAGAGAGTAAATAGATTGTTGTTTATCCAGGTATGGCATCGAATACTTGAGTTACCAGGATATGCATATGAATAATCTTTAATTTCGATCTTTTGCGAGATATTATTCTGTATATAAATTTGCCTTGCGTAATTAGAGTGCAATTAGTGTTGTTTATCTAAGTAAGCCATTTAAAACTTTAGGTACAAAGATATGTACATGGATAATCTTGAATTTCAATGTTTTGTAAGATTCTATTCTGTGCATTATCTTTTCTTGTTATGTAACATTAGTGTGTAGCTATACTGATATTGTGTGTGTCCTTGAACAACCTTGTTTACTAAGATTCTTGTGAAAAGATGTGACATTTATGTACGCGTGCTCGTGAAAACATAGATTAGCACGATATGCCTTCAACTTAAACTGTTGTGTGAAAACTCAAATATTTTGGGTAATTATGTTCATGTGCATGTCAAGTTTGAACATGCCAATGGCCCTCAGACATAAAGTGATCTCAAATATATGTCTATGTGTTCATGGCACTCGTTTCATTAATAAATCATGTTCATCCTCAATGATTTGTTTAATTATTTTCAATGAGCTTATCACAGCGATAAAATGATGTTCGTATTGCAATATTGTGTTTTCATAAAACGTGGAAAGAGTTTTGTCAAGTGTCAGGATATATATAGACATTGATCTATGTTTTTTTGCAAACCAAAACAAATGTATTTAAAAATCAAGGTTTGCTCGCCCGTGTGTCAAACTGTTTCGCCCATTGTGGACTGACATTTATTACGTTGCAAAGCAAAAAGCATGAGTTTTGAGCAAAATTTATATTCTCGGCCATTAGCTATCTATATATTTTAAAACGCTATAAATTAGCCGAAGTTAAAATGAATTGAATTTCGGGTCATGATACTAAAAACAATCAATTCATAATTTAATACATTTGCAACTTCAAAATAATGAGTTTAGGACGAAAATATTTCATTACGCACTACAATAGCCGGATTAAGTTAAAATGAGTTGAATTTTTTGTAACAGGTTATAAAGCTTATTCTACTTACCCGACTTCGTTGTGATGTGGCGACATAATTTATGGACTGCCCAGACAGCGACCTTATCAAGCCTTGACTTCATCTTGGCCTAATCGATAGTTCTTACACATCTGGGGCGTTGGGTAGTCTAATGGTTAAAATGTCTGCTCCTCACGCCGAAGACCCGGGTTCGATTCCCCACATGGGTACAATGTAAGAAGCCCATTTCTGGTGTTCCCCGCCGTGATATTGCTGGAATATTGCTAAAAGCATTCTCACTCACTCACTCACTCTTCCACATCTACATCTACGTCATATTTGAACGAACTAATGCACACGAACAAGCACAGTATACTGAAACTGAAAGGAAATAAATACTAGCAGACACACCATTACATTCGTGGATGAATACTGATAAAAATATATTTGTGATATAATTATTCTTTTGAAAACATGAACGTTTTTATTCCCCCAAACCAAAGCATCAACATACATGTACATATGTCTTTGTTAATTATGTTTTGAACGAATAATAGTAAGGAAAATGATCCATAACACAGAGATTGTTCAAGGGTGAATAACTTGATCGAATACTCATAAGCAGACAGACAAAATATCGAACGAATTCGCTGAGATGAAAATTCCTGGATACAATGAACAGACGTATATCTTGCAAAACAGACTACACAAAATGGGTTTCTCAGCATGTGAGTCGGAAACCCTCCTGTGCCGACTGCTGTTGGGCTCTGCATGATACCTATTTCGGTAAGAGGTTATGTCAGTGGTCTGGCATTAGGACTGGGCCGATCGCGTGTCAGCTTACATAATGTATTGATCAAGACTAGGGTATATAGGCGGGTAGAGTCTGTGAGGAAAACAGAACGGCCCTGATCGTAAGTGTTGCAGTTCTCCTGTTGTGTGGAGTCAATATGATATACCTAGCTTAACCTTTTACTTGTGTTTTTAGTTAAATCGTTTTATCTTCCTCTGATTACGAAGATGACCAACATTACCGATCTATTGCCTATTTCATTTTGATGCTTATAAGGTTAGTGTCTCTAAAGAGAATTCAAGAATGTATTTAATAAGTGTACATGTTGCACAAATGTCACATCTGAAAATGAATATTTATTTTTTTGAATTACTTATTCAGTTGCAGAGCTATTCGACAGTCATTTTTCTTACTTTCGACGTATCTTCGTCTGCATCGTCGATATGGCCTCCTACGACCCCGCCGACCCTGAGATGCAGTATCTTGCTGTGGACCGCAAGAAGCTGCTGAAGGAGCAGAACCAGTCCTTCGATGCCAAGAAATCTTGCTGGGCGCCCGACGAGGAGCAAGGCTTCATTTCCGCAGAAATACAGAGCACATCAGGGGACGATGTAACAGTTCTCCTAGTTGACTCCAAGCAGGTTAGAAATACATTTCAGGAATTATTTAATGTCATTTAACCCGAATCATCAGAACCCATTATGAAACAAACTCACATGCATAAAAAGGGAGTCATAGATTTGAAATTATTAAACATTTTAATCCATACAGTTACAACTTCTTGCAAGTCCGGAGGTTATTACTGTGGAATATTTGATGGCAAAGAGGTATTAAATACAGGATGCTTTTTCTTTTCAGACGAAGACGTTCAAGAAGGATGACATCCAGTCGATGAACCCTCCCAAATTCGAGAAGATCGAGGACATTGCTAACATGACCTTTCTCAACGAGGCCAGCGTTTTGCATAACCTCAGAGCTAGATACACATCTGGTCTGATCTATGTGAGTTAACACATTGTCATGAAGTAAAGACAATTTATCAATAGGTGTGCTTGTATTCAGTGAGGGCAGTACCTTTTATTACATTTAACTTCGTCATCAATGAAATCTATATATAAATGAATTTTTAATGTAGTGTCCAAAGCTATATTTGGAAAATCACATTTAATAAATTGCATTTTTCTTAATAAATACATCAACCATCAATTGGATTATATGTATAAATTAAGAAAGAATGAATATGAGACGGTTGTATCCCTCAGACAAGTATGACCTAATATATATCCCGCATTGTTACAGACCTATTCGGGCCTGTTCTGTATCGCCATCAACCCCTACCGCCGTCTCCCCATTTACACCCCGTCCATCGTGGCCAAGTACAGAGGCAAGAGGAAGACCGAGATGCCTCCTCACTTGTTCTCCATCTCTGACAACGCCTACCAGTTCATGGTTCAGGGTGAGTAGCACAGCAAACTAACGTGCTCACTACTTCTCGTTATACTCTTCGAATATGTAAAATTACATTTAATTTTTTAACATATTAGTGAGTGAGTGAGTCGGGTTTTGAACAGTATTTCAGTTATATAAAGGCGTACCATAACCTTGTAAGGTGGAAAGAAAGTCCGTAATGATTACAGCTCTATTTGTAACATCTTGTGTACCTACGCCTACCAACATTGTGAGGAATTACATTGAAACACAGTTTAAATCTACCACTCAAAGTTATTACGTCTGAGGGACGCAACTCCGTACAGCAAATTCCTACGCGAAGGTCACTGGGACATCTATGTCCCGCTAGAAAATGTTACTTGGTTTCAATTATACCGTCAACCATGTTTCCATATTATCCTTTTCATTTCAGATCGTGAAAACCAGTCTATGTTGATTACGTAAGTATAAAATACATAATTCGTTGAGGTTGCCAATAAATTCAAATTAGAGACAAGAAAACATATTGTTTATGACCTTATGCAGCAGTTGTCCGCAAGCGCTGTCAGTGTCGAATCATGTATTTTGTTTTATTAAGTGGCGAGTCTGGCGCCGGGAAGACTGAGAACACCAAGAAAGTCATCGCCTACTTCGCCTTTGTCGCCGCCGCTTCTAAGGGAGAAGGGGAGCAAGAGGACAAGAAGGTGAGAAATCAAGCTCTTCTTATTCTATTATAACTACTGACAGGGAAGCTTTCCTGATGATGAAGTGGCTGCAAAAACAAATGTTATTCCTAATCTCTTTGTCTGATTCCAGGGCTCCCTCGAGGATCAGATCGTGCAGGCTAATCCTGTTCTTGAGGCCTATGGTAACGCCAAGACATCCCGTAACAACAACTCCTCCAGATTCGTAAGTGGTCGAATATTCCAAAATGAGTTTTCATTAAAAACGTAATGTAAATAAGTATATATGTTTTTTTTTCTAACATTTGTTAAATAATGCTTTTAGTTTTAACAAGTTTGTTCGGTATGTGTAATACGCTGGACACATAAAAAATAGAAAGGAATTGTGTCTATCCTATTTAAATATATTTTCTTCCATTCAAGGGTAAATTTGTCCGAATTCATTTTGCCTCCTCTGGGAAAATTGCTGGTGCTGACATTGAAACTTGTAAGTAATAAAGGGTTTTCTAACATTGATTTAAAGCTGATAATATGCAAAATATGAATTCGAAATATTTAAATGATAAAAGTCGATCTGAGAATACAGAAAACACTTTTAAACTTATTTGTGATGTGTGGATAAATGCATATATGTAGCACCTCTGATAAAAATGAATACATCTGTGTCTTTAAACAACAGACTTATTGGAAAAGTCCCGTGTCACCTACCAACAGTCTGTGGAGAGAAACTACCACATCTTCTACCAGATGTTGTGTGGAGCTTTGCCATCAGTTACAGGTAAAAAGTAGTGTTACATGTTGATTCCCAAGTTGAAATTTAAACGTTAACTGGGAATGTATAGTAATTCTATCCTTTAAAGAGGCGAGTCTAGATAAGCGGACAGAACTCTTTAGAGTGATATTTATATTTAATAGAAATTATCATTTAAACTATTTATCATTACCTTAGAGACTTGTGCAGATGTAAGTATCAGGTTACCTCAGTTGTTTTTACACGTGAATATTTTATTTTGTTCCAGAAACGATTCTAGCCAAACCTGACGCTGGGTTGTTCACCTTCATTAACCAGGGAGTCCTTACTGTCAATGGAATCGACGATGTGGAAGAAATGAAGATGACTGATGTAAGATATAATTATATAAGCTTCTTACCACGATACATATCAAGACTATCGTTGATTATTCTAAATTCACATCAGTATTTCATACACGCCTTAACCTGAACTCGATAAAATGTTTGAATTTGTTTCTCATTCCAGGCTGCCTTTGATGTTTTGGGATTCACCGCTGAGGAGAAAACCAGCGCCTACAAGTGCACTGGCTCTATCCTCCACATGGGTGAGATGCAGTTCAAGCAGAAGGGAGAACAGGCTGAATCTGAAGGAACTGCTGAGGCTGAGAAGGTTGCTCTTCTGTTGGGTGTCAACTGTGGTGACTTCCTGAAGGCTCTGTGTAAACCCAAGATCAAGGTGGCCATGGATTATGTCACCCAAGGACGAACCAAGAATCAAGTTCTCTACTCTATCGGTGCTTTGGCCAAGTCCCTCTATGATCGTGTGTTCAACTGGCTGGTGAAAAGAGTCAACCACTCCCTGGACACCAAGAAACCGAGGCAGTTCTTCATTGGTGTGCTGGATATTGCAGGCTTCGAGATCTTTGATGTAAGCAAAACATGTATCTGTATTACGATATCCACTAGAAAATGACCAAGATGATATATCATAATATAAGATTACAGACATTATTCTTGTCATCCCATCCATAGTGAGTGTGAGTGAGTGAGTTTAGTTTTACGCTGCACTCCAATCCCGTTAGTCAGTTCTTACGACAAACATGGGCTACTGAAGGTCAATTATAACCCGGATCTCCACGGGTCATCCCGTCCATAAATGGCCCACACATATTTCTATTACTGTATCAGCTGTTAAATTTCTGTGCAAACTTTATTCCAGTTCAACAGCTTCGAACAGCTGTGTATCAACTACACCAACGAGCGACTGCAGCAGTTCTTCAACCACCACATGTTTGTGCTGGAGCAGGAAGAATACAAGAAGGAAGGCATCCAGTGGGAGTTCATCGACTTTGGCATGGACTTGCAGGCCTGCATTGAGCTCATTGAGAAGGTAGACATTGGCACCGTCGAAGTATTAGTATGAATAGATTTGTTACCTTTCACATACATCCACTTGAAATATTCGGATGTATCAAACCTATTTGTCAATATGTTAATTTCGTCAAAATCACTTTAAAACCCTCACCTAAACTGTTCATCCAAGTATGTTAGTTTGATCGTCAATTATGTGTTACCTATTTGTAGCCTCTTGGCATCCTGTCCATCTTGGAGGAAGAGTGCATGTTCCCCAAAGCATCAGACAAGACCTTCAAGGACAAACTAACTCAGAACCACATGGGCAAATCTCCCAACTTCCTGAAGCCCAGCAAATCTATGAAGGGAGGTGCACATGGTGACTTCTGCCCTGAAGCACTACGCTGGTACAGTTCCCTACAACATTGGAGGCTGGCTGGAGAAGAACAAGGACCCTGTCAACGAGACCATTGTGGATCTCCTGAAACAGTCTAAAGAACCACTCGTCCAGCTGCTGTTCTCCCCACCAGCAGGAGGTTCGTTAAATCACATAATTGAAGAAAAATGTCTATAGAATAGCTTTTATGAAATAATATTTTAAAAAAAAGGATTTTGTGGAAATTGCACGATATATAATTACAGAAGCGTTTTATGATCACTGTTAAATATATAAAAATGAATGTTTCAGAATCTGCTGAAGCCAGTGGTGGAAAGAAGAAGAAGAAGAGCTCTGCCTTCCAGACAATATCTGCTACACACAGGGTATGATGTTAAGAAGAATGCCATTAAGCTAAAATATGTTATACATTAAAATGCTGATAGGGATAAAACACAGTAGTGACTTTTGATATAACCCCTTGAAGATATGAGTGATATAATGTACATATTTATCATAATTCATCACCATTTTTTGTTTCTATTAGGAATCTCTCAACAAACTGATGAAGAACCTCTATTCAACACATCCTCATTTTGTGAGGTGTATCATCCCCAACGAAACCAAGACACCAGGTATGGGGAAAGGTTTTTACGGCTTTTTGTGTTCTTTTAATAGTATTTAGCTATGATAATTGACTACCTGCTCAGGAAGGTACGTTAACTCATAGACATCTATTGTAGGTCTGATTGATGCTGGCCTTGTGCTCCACCAGCTTCAGTGTAACGGTGTACTTGAGGGTATCCGTATCTGCAGAAAGGGATTTCCGAGCAGAATCATCTACTCCGAATTCAAACAGAGGTATGTATGCAATGCTAAACTATTTGGATTAAAGTAATTTGAAAGTGGAAGTGATAAAAACACTATGTTGTCTTTGAAACCATCTGAATACATTGATGAAATACATACCAAATACACTTCCTGTTCAAAAACGTTTGTAGTAAAATTAAAATTTGACGCTGAAGTTTCGTGGCTTCTTTTCTTCTTCAGATACTCCATACTGGCTCCAAATGCGATCCCAGAAGGATTTGTTGAGGCCAAGGTAGTTTCTGGCAAGATTCTGGAGGCTCTGGAGTTGGGTCAGGATGAATACCGTCTTGGAAACACAAAGGTGTTCTTCAAAGCAGGTGTTCTTGGTTACCTGGAAGAAATCCGTGATGAACGTCTGTCAGTTATTGTGGCTTTGTTCCAAGCTCACATTCGTGGTTACCTAATGAGGAAATATCTCAAGAATCTTCACGACAAAAGGTAAGTTTTGACAGTGCAGACCAAACAACGACTCTTCCCTCTAAAAACTTAATACTTACTGTTTAAACATATTTATACTGGAGTGCAATATTTCAGAGAATTCTTGTCTGTTTCAGGGTTTCCTTGGAACTGATCCAGAAGAACATCCGTAAGTGGCTTGCCATGAGAAACTGGTGCTGGTGGAGATTCTACACCAAGGTCAAGCCACTCCTCAGTGTTGCTGCTGCTGAGGACGAGATGAAGCAAAAGGAGGAGGCACTTGGCAAAACAAAGGGTGAACTTGAGAAGGTGACACAGAGGTGCAAGGAGCTCGAGGAACAGAGCGTGACCTTAACAGAAGCCAAGAACAACTTGTTCCTACAGGTTCAAACCCAACAGGATACCATCGATGACTGTGAAGAGAGGATAGAGCAGCTGCTGAAGCAAAAGGAAGAAACTGATGTTCAACTAAAGGAACTGAATGATAGTTTAGTCGAGGAAGAGTCTAAAAATGCAATGCTGACTGAAAAGCAAAAACAGATGGACACTGAAATCTGTGGCCTCAAGACAAACGTCGAGACTCTTGAAGGAACTGTATCAAAGGTATATGTCATTGCTCTTCTAACTAACATTTTCAAAATGTCATTTTGCATAGAAAAATTGTAATGGAAGCAAGATATTAAACATTGTTCAGTACAACGTGTTTTGATATATTTCACTCAGAATATTCATGGACTGCTTTGTTCTACAGTGTCAACATGACATCAAAACGAAGGATGGTCAAATCAGAACACTCAATGACGAAATGGCCCAACTGGATGAAATGGTTGCCAAACTAACAAAGGGCAAGAAGGATGTTGAGGATCAGCTTGCCAAGACTAAGACCAGTCTTGAAACGGAGGAGGACAAAAATGCCAATCTCAATAAATTGAGACAGAAACTTGAAGGTGCTATTGTTGAGGTAGGACTTAACTAGAACTAGCTAAAAGCAATCAAGGAATACTTACTGTAATGTGCTTACCACAGCAACATACGCATTCTAAATTAATACTTTGAAGTTCTATTTGAACTCCAATGATAATAAAATCAACGTCTCCGATCGTGAGTTAAATATGTATTTATGATTGTTAGCTCGAAGATATGCTCGACCACGAAAAGAAGGTCCATGCAGAAGTTGAGAAAGTCAAGAGGAAGTTGGAACAGGATCTGAAGGCTTCGAAAGACAACTGTGAAGATCTCGATCGCGTTAAGACTGATCTTGAAGAGACTCTTAAGAAGTAAGTAAACAAAGAAGATACACATACGCTTTTGTTTTCCTGCCTCCTTCAAAATGTATTTTAGATAAGTTGCATTTTGTCACTTGTGAAATCTGTTAAAATCAAATCGTTTGCCTTGTTCAGGAAGGAAAAAGAGATCACTGTTCTTACATCTGAATTTGAGGACTCTGAGACTCGTGGTATCCAACAACAGAAGAAAATCAAAGAGCTTCAGGTAAATGATATAGCTTATTGTAGCAACATAACGATCAGTTAACAGTTATCCATGGCATTATTCTTATGGAATGTGGACTTGCAGATACTCTTTTACAGGATTCCTGTGCATATGTGAATTGTCATTTTGAAATCATTCCCACTTTATGTTCCTACCAGAACTACCTTGAGGAATGCCAAGAACAACTCGAATCTGAACGACAGACAAGATCCAAGGTATGATCAATGGCTGATTGGATTGATAGATTTCAGATATGGGCACCTTGTACCTGTAGTGAGGGCATCCTTTATGGTCTTTTATACACGCGTAGATTTTTCGAATTTCGAAATCGTTTACAAAAGAACTCCATTTTGTAAACTGAAACATATCTCGCATGGTCAGTCAGCACTTTTTATACATTTTATACATGGTATGAATACATATTAATTTCAGGTGGAAAAGCAGAGAGCCCAGTATGCAAATGAAATGGACAATATGGCTCAGCTCATCGAAGAAAATAATTGCACAATTGCTTCACAGGTACAAAAGCGTTGATATTATTGATATTGAAGATGTAGCGTTTTGTCTTCTTTCTTTCCAAACTCAAACTCAACATACAACTACATACAGCTAACTTTACTACTAAAATCTAATGATGTGAAATGCGAGAATATATGACTCACTTCATACATACTTAACTGATAAAGATGTTTAATATAATAAACATATTTCGACAGTCGGACGTTATCAAGAAGCGTGACACGGATATTCAAAAACTGAAGCACGACATGGAAGAGGCATCATCCCAGCATGAGTCTCAGGTGGCCAACTTCCGCAAGAAGCAGAAGGATGCCATGACTGAGATGAATGATCAGATGGAACAACTTCAGAAGGTCAAACAAAGGTAATGTACCAATTTCTAATAATAATCATATTGATTTAATGGGCGGATGGACAGCCAAAGTAGTAGTCTTGATGACTAGTTAATTGTTGCATATATGTACTTGAATTTCCCGAAAAAACAAATAACGATAAATAGGGGGCTCACCAAAGGGATAGTTATGAACTACATGTACTTGAATGACATTTCGAAGAATACTCGTATTTGCTACCAAAGGCAGACGTATCTCGTTCTACACATCTAGTAATTGTGTTTTCATTTACTATACAAATGACAATTAGGTAGTGAGACAAGAAAATCAATCTTGAGGATAAGACCAGCATTTGGTTATTTCTTTCTAGGTTGGAGAAAGAGAAAACTCAACTGAAGGCTGATGTTGATGAACTGCTGAATGAAGTAGAGCACGCCAAGAAAAACAAGGTATGTTCGTGTAACATAAACACCACAGTAAGAAAATATATAAAATGAAGATTTGTCACATTTTAATCTTTATAGCATATATGTATATTATCTTCATAAATCTCTTTGCCAGGGATGTTCGGGTGTGATGTCCAAGCAGATGCAAACCCAGATGACCGACCTCAATACCCAACTCGAGGAAAGTGTCCAGCAGCTCAGTGAAATGCAGATAGAGAAGAACAGACTGATGACGGAGTCTGCTGACCTAACCCGTCAGCTGGAAGAAGCTGAACACAGAATTGGGAAACTTAGCAAGGACAAATCATCTCTCAGTGTTCAGTTGGAAGATATAAGACGTACCTCTGATGACGAACAGCGGGTTAGTTTCTTAATTGACTATATGTGTGTTGTTCTCAGGTCAGCCGATAATGTGTGAGCTATCTTTACAACTGTGTTTACACCACCTCTCAAAATATCAAATTATGTGAATATTCATGCTTGAGTTTCTGACGTGAGTAAACGTGACTTACAGAAGTAGCTCCAACCAAACCATCGATAAAGCAAACCATTATCTAAACCTTGGAACGTCAGGTGCTACGTGTCTGGAAAGGCTTGTGACATTAGACTTCCACCTCTCCGCTAAAATTCCTGTATTTGTCATTTCCAAGCTAGATGGACAAATGCCCACCAAAGAAGCTAGTTGGACAAGTTTCATTTTCTTGTGGCAGAGCTGGGGATATGTCGAGGTCATCCCTCAGAAGCAACATGAAAATCGCATTTCCATCCATTTACCTCGGTAATGAAGTGGATGTACGCATATATTTTCTCCGATTAATTTAGCATTGAAACCAAGTGAAGTTGTTTGATAGATTACAATATAATTGTTTGTCTCCTTAGGTGCGTCAGCGACTACAAACTGAGATGAGGAACATGAACACTGACATGGTCAGCATTAGGGAACAACTAACAGAGGAGCAGGAGGCTCGATCAGCTCTACAGCGCCAGTTGTCCAAGTCTAACCAAGAGATGCTTATGTGGAGGTCTAAATATGAAACTGAGGGTACTGTCAGGGTTGAGGACCTTGAAGAATCTAGGTAAGCATAACAAGTAAAACAGTTGTGTTTATAGATAATTTTGATAAATCATCAATTTCTGCTTTGTTCTAAACACATGAACTGTATACAACTTGATACAAGGAAATGATTATGATTTTGTTGACTTCACAGACGCCGAGTCCAAGCTAAACTGACTGAAGCTGAGCATGAACTGTCCACTGCCAATGCTAAAGCCAGTTCTCTTGAGATGAGCAAAGCTAAGATGGTAGGTTAT